CACTAAGAGAAAGAAAAAAAAAACCCCTCAACTTGGTTTCAAAAGTAAATTTTTGTTTTTGTTTTTTGGTTAAAATTTTGAAATTGAGCTGATAGGTTGACTTTGTTAGAATTCGGCACACAATTATAAAGAAATAGAGAGTAAAAGCGAGAAAAGGAAATCGTGACACGAGGTTTTTATCCCCGTTCATCCTTAAACTAGAGTTATATCCGGTAGATGATTCGCTATAATTAACACATCGCACCTCTACGTTACATCTCTTAGTTACAAGAGAAATAAATTATATATACTTAGTAGCTATTCATGTGCCAAAACCCAAACTACTAATAAAATATAGGGTCAAATTATAAAAGCCCTCTGGCGGCTTAGGAGCGTTGCCCCTGCAACCCCATTGGGGTGGCCCCCCGGGACCTCCGCCCGCTCACCGGAAAGCAGATTCCTCGTGCCTTTCGATCGGAGGGGAATAGTATTTAGTGATCTTGAGCCTTTCTCGCCTCAAAAGACTTAAACAAACAAGTTCACATCTCGAAGCCTACCAACGTTAGTAAAAGGTATGGAAGATATAAAATGTACAAAATTTTGAAAATTAGAGGTCGCAAAATAGGGAAAGAAAATAATCGGGCCTGGATATTTTCGTTTTTAATTTTAATTTTAGCAATACAATCTGATATATATAGAATCCGAAGCGAATCATTCCTCCATCTAATGCCGTCGATGTCTTGGACGCGGACGTTGCAATCATATGTTAGCCAATTTATTATTATTATTACAAGGTCTTTACTTAGTTATTTCCTGGGAATTTTTTTTAATTATATCCCATTTTTATTGGTCAAACATAAGACTAGAGGAAAAAAGGAAATTAAATATTAAAAAAAAGAGGCCTGAGGCCAGCATGACGACACAGCTTATCCATACAATCATCAAAATAATTGGCGGAAATTCCATGACATTGTACCAGGAGGTTCCATTCCTCAAGTTGCCCAATGGACCCGAGATAAATTTATGGATTGATAGAGAGAGATATGTTATGAAAAAGACAAATTAGATAATTTAAGCGGTCGAGTAAGCCAAGCCTAAAGGTGGGTTGTATCGTTAGTTTGAGTAGGACTCGGATTAGGACCCTCGAATTTGGCTCGGTCCGGTTCGAGTTTCGGCTCGGTTCTTTTTTTCGCACCCCTGGTTTCAGGTTCGGTTTATGCCCAAACTAAGTAAATCGCGAGTTTCTCATTTTGGCGCCGATGGCTTATTCGTAATTGGACCAGAAGTTCGGATTAAGTGAGAAGACATTGTTAATATAAGGGGTTTTTTTCTTCTTTTGGCCATACAATTAGGTCGAGTTGTAAGAAGTGATTATTTCTCGGGAGATCGAGTCAAATATTGTGTTCCCCAGTAAGGAAAACAGCAAAGAAAATGAAGGTCAAATGTCACTATCAACGATTGTGAGATGAACGCAGGCCAATAGATGAATTTTAATCAGAAAGTGACCCCTCGGATCCACTCTGAGTGTAACTTAGTGTCATAACGTGTCAAATACGATATCAGCTGCGATTGGTTCGGCATTTAGAAAAAAAAATCTTTGGAAAGATGCAAAAACTTTAAGTTAAAGAATGGTATTTAATTTCTTTGGAAAGATGAAAATATCTTTCGAGCAATGACTGGCGGGTGGCGGCCGTGTGTGCAGCAGCCGGCGGGAGACGAAGGTACGTGACGAGAAGAGTTTTTATTTCTCTTTTTGTTCCAAAAATAGTAAAGTACAAAATTTTTATTTCTCATTTCTGTTCTAAACCTATTTCTAAACTAAAAATTCGTTCCAGAGATAGAAAAATGAAATTGCGTTGCCAAACAGATTTCTTTTCCAAACATGTTTTCGGGAACAGAAGAAAGATAGAAAAATAAAATAGTTATCATTTACATCTTTAGCACCGAAGGAAATCATTCCTCGATCTAAAAATGCCGTTGAAGTCTTGAAAGTTGAGGTAACATCTTCGCTGGGATATAACCTGGCAAAATATTAATTTATATTCCTTTCTTATAATTCAAACATAAGGGTAGAGGAAAAAAGGGAGAGCGCGAAAATAACTAAAGAAAAAGTCCGAGACCAGCCCGATGACAATTAAGGGTGAGTTCCTCGTTTGGCGCTTATAGCTTATTCTTAATTGAAATACGAAAAGTTTGGATTAAGCGATAAAACGTTTTTGGTTTAGTTTTATTTTTCTTTCGAACAAATTGGGTCAGGTCATAAGAGTTAAAATTTTTCCGTTGTAATTCTTCGTAGCCAAAAAAAAAAACTAAGAGATGAAAGAAATGTCCAATATCATTATTCGTGATTGTGACGTGAACGCGGGCCAACCGATGTTTACAATCAGAAAGTGACCCCTTGAATGTTCGACCATGCCCGGTGTGATCTCTTGAAGTCATGGGGACGTAATTAATCGTGAGTTCCTCGTCTTGGCGCTTGGCGCTGATGGCCCATTCTTAATCGAACCATGAATGTTTGGATTAAGCAATAGAATGTTTTATAATTTAGTGTTTTCTTTTTCTTTTCGACGACATACGATTGGGTCGAGTTGAAAGAGTTAAAAAAAAAATTTGTCCTAATTCTTCGGAGCCAAAAAAATAAAAGATGAAAGGAATGTCAAAATATCATTATTTATGATTGTAACGTTAACGCGGGCCAACTGATGTGAGTGACCGCAAGGCTTCAGCTTCGGCCCATGCTTGGCGTGATCTCTTGAAGTCCGGTCACGGGGAAGTTAATAATAGCGAGTTCCTCGTTTGGGTGCCGATTGCCTATTCTTAATTGGACCAAGAGTTTGGATTAAGTCATAAAAGATTCATAATTTAGTTTTTTTTTTCTTTGCGATCGGGTCGAGTAGGAAGAGTTGATTATTTTCCATCGTAACTCTTCGTAGCCAAAAAAAAATATAAAAGATAAAAGAAAGGTCAACTGTCATTATTTATAAAGGAAAGGTCGAGTTGGAAGAGTTAATTATTTACGAACGCGGGATAGCCGATGTTCTTTATAAAAAAGTGACCCCCTAAATGTTCAATCGGAGTGTAATGTAGTCTTGAATACGCATCGGAGCTCAGTCCAAGACGAGCTATCTAATCCCCCGTTAGTAACCCTAAGCAGCCTATTAGCCGGTTGCAACGGGATGGGTAGATCGTTTCGATCCGAATTAGTTGAGTGGTCTAAAAGATCCGGATGAAATGTCATAGCGACGAACTCCGTGTTTTCGCAGCTACATCAAGAATTTCCATTATGGGTGAGGATATTTTGCTTCGTCTCGCCCTTTCGATTTCCGCTTCGCAAGTCCAAAGTTAGATCAATTTTTCAATTAATTATGCTATCTTATTGCACATTTCTGAATATACCGAATGCGCAAAAGTGTTGCCTCGCATCTCTTCTTCTCCGTACACTAATCTTTAAATTTTTTTACATGAAAAAGCCAAATACAAATTATTGAATTTTCAATGCCTGCGCTATTAATGGCTCATATTTGTGTGAACAAAAAAAAAGTTCCGTCACTTTTTCTAGGGGTGAGCGGTTTCAGATACCTCATAAGTTTCTCCTGGAACCTGAAACCTACCCTCTGGTACAAGTTTCTCATTTTTTGGAACCTGAAAACTACCCTTCGAAACTTAGAACCTAGAACCTATCCTGGTTCTAGGGTAGGTTCCAGGGTCTAACAGGTTCTTTTTTTTTCATTTTTAGTTAAACAAAACGAAAACGAACACGATAATATTAAACAAGTTTGTCATTCACCAAAAAGAATACAAAAGATTAGTTTTCATGGTATTATAGTTCAAATAAATACAATCAAAATGAGAAGTCATTGCGTGAATCGATATTAGGGGTGAGCGATTCCATCTTCCGTACAGGTTCCACTTGGAACTGAGAACTTACCTATGAGAATACGGTCCTCATTCTTTGGAACCTGAAACCTACTCTATCATAGGTTCCAAGGTCAATTCTAGGGTCTACCCAAATCTACATGTATTATTAATTGAACAATTGCAGTGAATCATCACATTTAATGACTACCACTTACTATTATGATCCACTAACCACAACTTATATTCAGACACACAAAAAATATGAAATATTAACAAGTCATAAAATGAAAAACTCAGACTAGTGATTCCAGATTATACACTCATCATCTAACGCCATGAAAGACCGCAGGATCACGCAAACACATAGACTAAGAAAAAACACAAAAAACTTGTTTAGGTTTCAGGTTCCACCTACCTAGAATCTGAAACCTACCCGTCGAAACAGGTTCCCTAATTTTCAGAACCTGGAACCTACCCTGTATACCTTGGAACCTGGAACCTACAGATTCCCACTGGTCAGATTCTCAGGTTCCAGGTTCTATCCTGAAACCATGCTCACCCCTAACTTTTTCTATTCCCTCTATAACTAAAACACTCATTAATAGAATGTTCTAACAATATTGCCATTTGTGGGTCTCCCTTTTTAGCATCCCTTGTCCCATTTTTTTTTTATTAATTGTTAATGCAAAACTTGCAAAATATTTCTTGTCTTGAGAGAAGCTCAGAGGGCCGACATTTCATTCCGTTTATATTTTGGAGGTACATGTATAGATTATTCAGGATACGTCTCAAATATAAAGGAGGCATTTGTTTCTTTGAAAAACATTTCGGCCAATTAGTTTTTCAGACTTTTCCGTGATTGGTTAATTTGAGAACGGCCGGTGAACCGAAAACCATTTTCGGTCAGAGAAAACACCCACGCCCAAAATAAGGAGATCGAATTTCCGATCCTCATTTTCCCAGGCACAGAATACTCAATAGCCTCTTCACCATTTTTTTCCCAAGCATATAACCAAATAAACGCAATTTAACTATTTTTAAAAAAAATATATATATTTTTTTTGTGATGATTTCTTTTTTCAATTTCAATTTATGAATTTTTTTTAAAAAGAGGCAGGGTGGATAAATCCGGGACCAATGGGAGCGTCGGAAGGCGCGCGAACGAGATTACGGGGGGAGGGAGACGGAGGAAAATTTCTGGCTGCGCGGCCTCCAAACCACCGTCCTACGTGGCGCAACGCACCACCATCCGATTCGCCCGCACATTCCCACCCCAGCCCATCGCCACCAACCAAGCACAAGCTCGCCCTCGCTCTCCCTCTCCCTCTCTCTCTCTCTCTCTCTCTCTCTCTCTAGAATTCGCAGGTGATCCGCTGAACCACCACCACCACCACCACCAATGGCGGTCGCTGCTCCGTCGCCGGCCGCTTACCTCTCCGGCCTCAGCCGCCGCGGCTCCCTCTCCCCGTCCCCCGCCAGGAAGGCCCTGACCGTCGTCGCCATGGCTCCGAAGAAGGTAAAACCCCCTCTCGTGCCCTGCGCTGCTCTCCGTTTGAGGCCGGTGACCCCGTGAGAGCGAGCCGATGCCATTGATGCTTCACGGGCGGCGTGCAGGTGAACAAGTACGACGAGAGCTGGAAGAAGGAGTGGTACGGGGCGGGGATCTTCTTCGAAGGGAGCGAGGAGGTGGAGGTGGACGTGTTCAAGAAGCTGGAGAAGCGCAAGGTCCTGAGCAACGTGGAGAAGGCGGGCCTGCTCTCCAAGGCGGAGGGGCTGGGGCTCACCCTCTCCTCCATCGAGAGGCTCGGGGTGTTCTCCAAGGCGGAGGAGCTGGGGCTGCTCAGCCTGTTCGAGCGGGCCGCCGCGGTGTCCCCCTCGGCGCTGGCCTCCGCCGCGCTGCCCATCCTGGTGGCGGCCCTCGCCGCGGTGGTGCTGATCCCGGACGACTCGGCGGGGCTCGTGGCGGTGCAGGCGGTGGTCGCGGGGGGGCTCGTGGTGGGGGCGGCGGGGCTGATCGTGGGGTCCGTCGTGATCGGCGGATTGCAAGAAGCCGATTGAAATTCATTCCCTTAGCGTTAGCCAGCGTTGTAGAATGATGATAAATCTAAAAGCCTTTTCCCCTCTCTCTCGATCATTGCATTGCATGCCCAGAACTAGTAAGTAAGTTGCTTGAGCAAGAAAGCTCGAATCAAACCGCGCTCGAGCTTACGCCATTGAACAATTCTTGCTGTTCTCCATTCAACTGCGACCCGCAAAAAATCTGGTCAAGCTGCAGCAAGAGGGTGTGCGCTTTGAACTGGCGCAGGATTCGAACGCGCATCTCTTCACCCTTTCGCTGCATGAGGCTGTAGAATCTCAGACAACTTCGCCTGAACAACAACGACAACATAAGAGAAACGAAAGATCACTGAGATGTCAGTGAAGCTGGAAAGATCGAAGATGCAGCGAATTAGTACGAGGAAGATGAGAAGTGAAAGTCGAGGAAACCAAAGCAAAAAAGTTAGATGGAGATGCGGGGTATCGATCCCCGTACCTCTCGCATGCTAAGCGAGCGCTCTACCATCTGAGCTACATCCCCGATTTATACTTGCTTATGGATAATTTCTTATTAAATCCGTACATTCGATTTGGAGTGTAGCACGCGAAGTCGGAAACTGCCGCCATCTTCACTACCTGCAGAACATGTTTGAGCTAATCTTAAGAGCGCAATGACCCATCGAGAACCGAAGTCAAAAGGCCTGAGGCGAGAGACAAATACCTACTTTTGAGTAGAATCTTAACCTGTATCGCGGGCGGGTGGGTGCGGGTGTTTTTTGTTTCCAGCGATCAGAAGTGTATAGTGTGACTTCGACGCCGATCATGTTTGTGTGCAGTCTCTCGCATGGATTTGAGCTCTATCGATCGGATTAATGGAGAATTTCGTCATGGGTATCGAGCGTTTGGATTGCTGAGAACGTGTAACTTTTCTTTATAGCTAGTTATTGTGTTTCAGTTCGTCAGGGAGCATTAGAACCAATTTGAGTGACGGGTTTCGAATTTCCTACTAGCGATGAAATCGGGGAATATGTGAAGACAACAAGAGATCTCATGCAACTGCATTTATTAGTCTAGCAAATATACATAAGGAATGAGATGGAACATCCCTGAGCGACGAATGGCGACAACTCACGATTCCTGGTACTGAGCTATAGATTTAATCGACCCTGCAAGGAGAGCCGAGACTTTTTCTCTCCAGGAAAGCTAGACATATATCTCTATGGTACTAGTCGGATGCCGGCATTTATTCCCGTTTAGTATCTTAAGTCGATCTGTAGCTGTAGCGAGTAGCCCAGAAGAGGTAATGCAAGAAATTGATTCCACTTAGTACGCACAGTAGCCAATAAAACCCCTCCAGGTGGTAGTGATTCAAGTTGCTGCCGGACATCCAAGGTGTCCGAGAAAACATGTGGGTGATGTTATTGACTATGGAGATGAGTGCCGAGCTGAGGTAGTAGCCCATGGCTAATGATGCCCAGGAGAGCGCCATGGCCAAGGACCGCATGCTTCGCGGGGTTTCTGTGAAGAAGAACTCCATCATGCCTGCCAGCGTGAAAAGATCGGCCGATCCAAGGAACAAGTATTGCAGTGCTATCCACAAGAACGTGATCGGTAGTGGTCCGGCAGAATCTATTTTCCCAGATTCTGCGGCTAATTTTTTTCTCTTGACTTCAACCAAAGCTGCCACTGCCATTGCCACAATGGACAAAACTAACCCTGTCCCAATGCGCTGAAGATGAGTGATGCCCAGTTCGGTTTTATTGATTTTCCTTGCAAATGGTATGACTAGGTGGTTGTAGACTGGCACTAGTATCATTATGAAGAGGACTGGGAAGATGGGGAGGGAAGCCGGCGGGACTGTCAGGGAGCCTAGCTTGGTATTCATCGTGGCTGCTTGTTGGACTGAAAAGGTTGAGAGTTGTGCGAGGCAGCTGTTCAAAATTATAGTCGACATGAAGATGGGGAGAATCTTTATCACCGTCTTGACGCTTTCCACCTGACTTACGGTGCATTGGAGCATTGGGTAGCTGGGATTTTCTATCGCTGCTCTGTTTAGGAATCCAAGATGTACTGTCAGGGTCTGACTTGGCTCCTTTCCTTTGGCTTCTACATCCTCTGGCTCGCTATGAGATGGGCTTGTTGCCATCCTCACTACAGCTTTTGATGGTTTCCTAGATTTGCAAGTGTTAAAGATCGATGCTGCCAGCACCTATTGGACGCCAGGAAAAAAATGGTTTGTCATTCTCAATGTGAGGCATGTAGTCCGTAACTTTTACTGTTGTAAAGATTTATTATTACCTTGAACATGGTTGTGATGGGGCTTCCTGTGGGTGTTTTTACCAGATAGGTAGAAGAACCGAGGAGGAAGACTGGGATGGAGATCAGAATTGTTGCAGCCGATATCCCAAAGCCCCACTGCCAGCCTATGTTATCTTCAATCCAAACCACAAACGTGACAGCCATCAAAGCCCCACAAGCGAGGCAGAAAATGTAATAGTTGAAAAAGGCTGATCTCTGCTTCCTGCCTTCTGGGGTAGTCTCATCGAATTGCTCAGCCCCGTGTGGAGGTAGTGAGCCTTTTATCCCGCCAACTCCAAAAGCTACCAGATAGAGGCCTGCAAACAACATCACTGCTTTTGGACCACCAAGTCCTTGACACGGAGAATGGGCGCCAGCTGAAACACAACTTGGTGGTTTTAATGAAGGTATGTGAGCTTGAATCGTGAGAACTAGCAACCCCTGTGCTATTTCAACACTAGTAAGATTTTGATTGTGATAACATCAAACTCTTTTTTGCTGTCAATAATCAATAAAACATTAGATAACATTAAACTAGTCAGAAAGTCCTGCAGCAATAGAGTTTCATAGTTAGGGTACAGAGCACAACGATGAAAGTAGATTCTTCTTTTGGCCACCATACGCACATAGCAACTTAGGATTCTGGAATTGCCATGGGAACCCCTTAGTTGGAGTCTAAGAATCAGAGGGAATCACTTTCCTGTGCCTTGAGCATAGAGATGAACGTAGATTCTTCCTTTTAGTTGCTTTGTCATACTCTATGGCACTATGGCCAAAGGAAATGGTCATTTTTACCATTTCCCGATCCTTTTGGTTATTACAATGATGAAAGAAGTGCCCCCGTATGTTGGTAAGAAACATCATTCTGGACATAGTGATGGAGATTAGTGACCTTCTTCATCTTCATTTGCGGTTCCATGTCACGGTTGAGCTTCTCTCCTTTCTTTTTCTATTTGAATGTTATGTCCATAGAGACATGGACGTCCAGTTGAAAATAGCAGGGATATAGTTAAGTGGTTCTACATTCCTAACACCATTGTGTTTTTAAAAATTGGCGAATTTCTTTGGCTCAGGACCAGCATTGAGTGTCTGCATGTTCTTCGCATCAGATGATGTCAGTCTGCATCTGGTGCATCTTCACAGGATTTTCAGGACTATTTACAATATGATGAGTTCTAATGGTTTCTCTCACACCCTGGTGAAGATAGTTGATGGGGATTGATTATCATCTAACGCCTTGTCATGGCTCATCAACCACAAAAGAATGCTATAAGAGGATATCTGAAGAAACTGGTGAAATCCATTAGTGGAAAAAGAGAAGCATGAGAAGTTTTGGTAGAAGCTTACCATGAACTCTATTGCAGCGCTCATCAGATATATTCTGTAGGTTGTGATGTAAGCATCTGCTAGAAAGCCACCAAGGAGAGCGAGGAGAAAAGTTGTTCCCATGAAATTGGTAACGATATTGGCGGAGTTGGAGGGCGAATAATGCATGAATTTTGTCAGGTAGACCACAAGGTTGCTTGCATTAGCCAGGTATGCTAAATTCTCCAGCACCTCCACAACTAAGTTCCTCAAATAAACAATACAAGTCCTGTTATACTCTTGATAAACAGGATGAGATAATCTTTTTATTTCCTCTTTTCTTTTTTTTTCTTTTTTGGAGGGGGGGGTGTTGAGAGAGAGGTTTTCTGGTAATTTCTGCAACCCTTGAAAGAATCATGGAAAATGAGCTCTCAATAGTTAGTTGACAGCTTACCCAAGACAAAGAAGGCCGCCACCATGCCTCCATGACGATCTATGAGTGCAGGTCTGTTCCTCCAATCTACATAACCTTCCAATTCGTTCTGTTGCATACTGCCCTGATAATTGAAGAACTGTTTAGTGCATATGTTATGATAACCGTTAAAGAAGTAGCCGAGAATATGAATTAAGTATGTTGGGAACTTGAGGACTTTGGATGGAGGGAGGGACAGGAAATGAAAGGAGACACACCGTTTCTCTTCCTTTCATTACTTTTTGTTGAGGAGTATTTTTTTATAATTCGAGCATCGACAGTTGGGCTCGTATTTATAGACTTTGAGATGGCGGTGAAACCTGATATGAAAGATCTAGACTCTGAGAAAATGACACCTTATTATTCGTGCCGCTGCTTCTATTTGCTTTACTTTTAAGATATAAGAGAGAAAAGGCTTCAGGAACAGATGCACCCACAAGCAAATTCTTTGTTCTCCTTTCTTGACTAAAGGATTGTACTTGCACTTTGTGCCTGCTTGCATATGCACTGCTGAAGTTTTAAAGGCATTGCCTGTTTGGTGGTGCATACCAGTTATGTAATCAAATTGTCTACACGATACCTCGAGTTCAAAGTCAAAGAGGTGTTGATCTTTAAGTTTGATTCATAAGTTTCGATCTACAGTTAATTGGTGGTTGATGATGCATTAACAATTTGTGCAAGCATCAAAACAAAATGGATTTTTAGGTTGAGAAGTACTTTACGTGAGCAAGTTGCTTGATGATAGGTGCAAGTCATGGTGCTGTTTTTGACGATAGTGCTAATTTATGGCTTTTTCAGTGTGTCCCACTCCCACATCACATTCACATGGACCTCTCTGGTAGTGCTCGAGCATGATGCTCGAGCCACTGCGTTAGTAACTGCTCCAAAAGACTCCAAAGCTTATCAACCAAGTAACATCAGATATCAACCGAGTATCATCTGCACTATTCTCGTGCCTTCCACGACATGGCAGAGTCCTCATTCCTCAGAGTCAATTTTTGAAGGCCATAAGGATTTGCTCTAAAAATCGGGCTGCCTTCTTTACTGTCTACTGGTACCATTGCCTTCAAATCTTTAGGTTCCCAGATCCATGTCGTGGTCTGTCTGAGCTCATTTTGTTTGTCTGTTCCGGTACACTTGCTGAGCTTTCCATGGAGATGCTTCTTCTTGTTACTAGACTCATCTATTCAGTGGCCTATTCTTTTTATGGTGGATTCCTGACTGGTACTTTAATTTCCCTTTCAGGTTATCTGTAGTTCCCTCCTTCCCCTGATGCTTGAAACATGTGGATGCAATTTCATTGGGACAAACTTGGTGCTGGATCATCTTATTGCACTCCCAAATTGGGCGGCTGTGAGCCGAAAGAGATGGGTCCCTATCCCGCCTCCCATTTACTCATGCGTGTATTGAAAATCGGTTAGTTCTTCTCTCTTGTGCTTCATCTGAAGCAGTCAAAACTATAACCAGGAATAAAAGAATACAAAACAGTAAAAAGATCCATAAGGTTACCCAAGAAGAAAGTGGGGAAAGAACTTAACTTTTGTCTTGTTTTGTTAGTGATATTGCAAGAAGGGTCAGAGGCCTCAGGCTCGTCTCTGTCATTGTTTTGGTGAGGATGGAATTAGAACCTTCCCAATCAAATTGGTGGGGTTGAGTCTCAGGTGCCGTGGGGTCGCCGGCGATTCTATTCAGATGTATGCAATTTGATTGGCTGCTTGAGAACCTGTTGTTCTCACACTCTCAGTTGACAGATCTAGCTTTTAAGTGCACTTTAGGCAAGTGGAAGAAAGAATAGGAGCGTTCAAATAGCCAATTGACGTACTAATTATTCCAATGCTTGCTTTTTGATGCTGCTGAATCGACATGATCACACTTCCATTGCTAACTACACTTCTCCTCCTCTAATTGGATATCTCCCTCCAGTTACACAGTAATCCTCGGCCGCATGAATCTGCATGGATCGCGCACGTAATGGCTGTTTTTAGCTTAGAATTTGATGTGTGATCAAATAAAATTTGAGATACTTATACAGAATTTAGCAGCTTTAAAGTTTCTAGAGTCCAAATGTCAGGAATTTACTCCAAACAAGAACAGAAGTTGGATCAAAAAGTCTCAAGAGATAAGGTAGCGAGTACAGTACAGCAACGTTGGTCGTGCAGTGGTGTGGTGGGGTAGAAACGCACCGCCCGGTTTAAATGATTCCTAATGGAGTCTCAACGTGTTGTGGTGGGCTTTCCTTCTTCGTCTACTGAGCAGCACAGGCATGGGGGTCCACGCCATGCCATGGTCAGCCTTTCGTAATCACACGAAAAGACCCGAGCCGGAGGTCCGGGCTCGATTGGTTCTTGCAGCGACAAAGCTGCCGACTTTCGTGGCCGGAAGGATTGATCTCGCGTGTTCGTTCTCTTCCCGAATGGTCGGCCTTGATAGGTCTTTCGCTGTAGATAGGGACCGAGGACGGATTCCGGCATCGATTGATTGATGTAGATTAGCCAGCTGATATTTCCTTGAGCTTGTGATTATCATGTCATCGGCTCTCGGCTATGAAGGAGAGATCTTTATGTCCTGCCGGATCGCCTTGCTCTTATCACCACGTGCGCAAGACTAACTTCTTTTTGTAGGGAAACATGTCCGTGAATTCTAGGAGTGATCAGTTTCAGGATAGGTCTTGAACTGAACGAGCAAATTGGGAACCGGTCCACTTGATCTTGGAATCAATCCGATGCGATTCCCAAGTGGGTCTAGGTACCAACAGTGATTTCTTTCTTTCTTTTTTCTCTGCAACTTGCTGGGAATGTGAAGCTAGTTTTTGTTACATCTTATGTTGTAATTGCAAGTGGACGTGCCACTCAGCCATCGTGATAATAAGGATCGTTTCGAAAATTGTTTTGTTATAATAAAATTGTAAGAAGAAAACAAAATAACCGTCCGGTTTGGGCAATTTGGGAGGTTCGGTTCGCAACTGGAATCAAGAACCGGCTGATTATCACCGGTTCAAAATTTTAAGTACCGGAAACCGCCTAGAACCGGCTGATTCGATCAAGTTCCCGAGTGGAAACCATACTTGTGCTCAGCCCAAGTGAATCCTCCAGTGGACCAATATGATCTAATTTGGAGAGTAACCCTAGATTACTAATTAGTGAATGATAATCATTTTGTTTCCTTATTTTTTTATTTTTTTTGTTCCCCATAATAGGTTTGGTAAAATAATTTTTTTTTATCTCTAGGACAAATTTTGTCCTATAAATAGATTTGAAACAGAAATAACAACTTTCTTTTATTGTTTACTCTTGCCACCCACTGCCGCCCACTCGCCGCATGCCGCCCAACACCAGCCGTCTGCCGCCGCCGCCTGTTGTCGCTCGCCGGCCGTCCGTTGCTGTTCGCCGCCTCCCACTCGTTCCCGCCCACCCGCCTCCGCTCACCGACCATCCGCCACCGCCCGTCGATGCTCATCGCTTGCGCGCCGCAGCCCACCACCGCTCGCCGTCCGCCCGCCACCCACCGCCGCTCCCCGCCCACCCATCGCCGCCCGCCGCCGCTCGCCACCCACCCGCCTCCAGCCAGCCGTCGGAAACAGAAATTTAAGAATAACTTATCGAACGAATTTCTATTCCGCGAACAGAAATTTTGTGTCGTTATCAAACTCTACTTTTTGCTCAGAAGCTTGTCCGGGAAAGAGAAATCGATTTATTTATTTATTTCTAGTCAGAAATAGGGCCGGGGACGAGAAATGTTGTCATTCCCGCCCTAAAAACAAGAATGGAGTACTTAGAGGACTGTATTGGCAAAAAAAAAATGATGCAAAAAATCGATGGAGATATTGAGCCAGGCTTGGTTTTGGTCTCTGTGTCACGACCAATCTCGTTAGAATGTCATAATCGTGCTTTCGGATCGTATCCATCTAAAGCATCTTGATTTTGATTCTACATGTCAAATAGTATAATTATGATGAAAACGTATTAATTAGTGTCAATTGGTGTCAACATATAAAGTTAGACTTATCGTGTCGCATCCTATTCGAATTTTCTCTTTGGAAGTTGAGTTTCGCCTCGCGTCTCGTACGTGTCGTGCAAACGGGTCGTGTTTGGCATTGCCGGCCTCACTGTCATGCCGGTGCCAATCAATTGAGGTAGGCTGTATTTTCATTTAGAACCTGTGGAAAGAGATTTGTAGAATCGGGACATTGAAGACCACACTTGCACATTTCATAGTACTCTAGGATTTTCGTATTGGGCCTCGCGGACGAGAATTTGGGCCTTCTGTGGATCACATCAGGCCCAATACATAGCTGTTCTCATCCCTATTGGGCCTTCCTAAGATCATCGCTGTTTAGTACACGTTAGGGACAAGACGGTACGTCGTTCATAGGCTATGTACGAAAGCGACCGTGACTGTCGTCGCGCTTACACAGTCGACCATTCATTCGCATCACTCCAATCGGTTTGCGTTCTCGCATCGCCAACCGCGTCCTGAAACGAAATTGTCTCCTTGGCCGTCGTGTGAACCCATCGAGATACCGCCGAACTCGAATTGGACCCGTGACCGTCGCACGTACACAATCGACCATTCATTCACACCACTCCAAAGAGTTCGCGTGGCTGATCGGTTCGCATTTTCACGTCGCCAACGGTGTCCCAAAACGAGTCATCATCTCTCTAGTCGTCGTATGAACTCCTCGAGATATTGTCGAGCTCAAATTGGAAGCATCGTATTTCACATGTCAGACGCCGACAAATTCGATAGTAATCCAAGTTATCCTGTTCTCTGGCGAGTCGCTATACGAGTTTAGGTTTTTTTTTTTTCATGTGTCGTTGGACCGTGGGATTGACTCGATCTATTAAATTTGGATAAGTCGATAGCTTTTCGAGAATTCCCCACGTTTTTTATGTGGCGCTTTAGCTCCTCGTATCTAGTGAAGAGCAATTTATGTTCGCCATGTCTTTCCCTAGTACGAGAACAATCGCACCTACCAAAGTCTGTCTCTTCAGCACACTTCCTCTTTGCTTGCGGACGCCATTTTTGACCCAAAATGTTTGCGATTGGGAACACTCAAAAGCATCTTACCTATGCTACGTTTCCTTTTCCTCCGAGGCGAAAATCAAACCAGAGATCCTTGCGTTCGAAGAAACCCGAAAGGATGACGTATACGCCGATCGGGACGTTATGGACATAAAATTGAGGAGAATGTTCAAAAAGTCTTAAACTTATTGCACTTTTGCCAATTTGATTTTGAACCCTTTTGATTTTGTCAATTGAGTCCTAAACCTTTTCACGTTTTGCCAATCGAGTCAAACCATCCAATTTCTACCGGAAATCGCTGACGTGGAGGCCCTACGTGACGCGGCAGGCGAGGGTGACTTTCTCTGAAAAGGTTTATGACTCAATTGGCAAAATTAAAATGTTCATAGATTTCGGACTTTTTAGACAATTTTCCTTAGAAGAGAGATCTCTGTTGAACAATGAACCGAGAAATCCTATGGAGCAAGTGGGCACATGCAAGTAGAACGGGCACACAGGTCCATGAGTAGAATTGTCCAAAAAGTCTTAAACCTATTATACTTTTACCAATTTGGTACTGAATCTTTTAATCTTGCCAATTGAGTTATCGATCCAATTTTGATCGAAAATCGTTGACATGGACAACAACCGTCTTATATGTCACGACAGGCGAGCATGATCTCGCTCGAAAAGGTTTATGATTCAATTGGTAAAATTAAAAAGGTTTAAAATTGAATTGGCAAAAATGCAATATGTTCAAGATTTTTTGGACAATTTACCCTTGAACGGGAATCTTGTCGTACTCTAAACCGCGGAAATCCTACGGAGTCGGCTGGGCCATCGACGAGCAAACACGTGCACGCAACACGGGCGCGCCGACATAGGTTATGAGGCACAACCCCCGCGACGCCATTGAATATGATCTGTTTGTCCAAATTTCGCGCCGCATCTTATTCCAACCCCGCGAAATTAGGAATCAAATATCATGGAAGCGATCCAATGGTGGTGGGGAGTGGACAGACGGCGATAAGCGGGTGGAGGCCAAGGCGTGGAGGGACCAGCCTTGGCCTCGTCTCCCGTCCCATTGATAAATGGCCAACTCGCATGTTCCAAATTTGGATCGAGTCGTCTCGCGTCACTTTCCTCCCCCACGACGAGCCAAGTAAGAGAGAGATAGGGAGAGGGACGCGCAGCGGGGCCCGCCCGGGGCGCGCCGACGTGGCCCTGCGGCGGGCCCCCCCGGAGGCCCGCTGAGTTGGGGGGATGGTGGCGGCAATCGCCAGGTCAAACGGCGGGTGAGTCACCTGTCCACCCCCGACTCGCCCCTCTCACTCTCTCTCTCTCTTCCCCCCTATGATTTTATATCCCAAGCGCCACTAAATACCAAAAAAAATAATTTTTTATTGACATTTTTCAATTAAATTTTGAAAAAGTAAATTTGGTTTTTATATTAAGGGGGAGCCTTGCCACCCGCTCCTTCCTTCAATAGCGACTGATTGGACAGGATTCTCGTTTTTTTTTTATATACATTTTATTATTTTTTTGGGGGGGGCGTTTTGTTTTCTTCCTCTACATCTACCTCTCTGCCAAATTCATTGAATTTACCCGTTTGCCCACTTTGTGGTTGGGTCCTTGCAAAGAGGCCCCTCGTGTCATGTTCCACGCACTTTCACGCATCGACCCACACACTAGGAGAGCAAAATTCGATTTTGCTTCGGCTATACGAGGAAAGTGGGGTGGTTTTGCCCGTCTCAGTGAAATGTGAATTTTTTTGGAATCCAAACGTTGTTTTTGGGTGCTTTCTTCCACCGGCGCATCGTCGGTCCATCTTCCGATTTTCTCTCGCCATATCCGAGAAAACCTCTCGTCAGGGTTCCTGTCTGTTTGGTATCGTATTTACAGCGAGGTTTTCCTTACCGGAGTATCGTGACAAAGGTACCAACAGGCACGGGATATCGTGTCGATGACTCGTTGGTAGTATAATGAAATGAACGCGTGATTCTTTAATTCTCACCGGTCGAATTAGAGACTCCTATGTAACCGACCTTGAGCTGTGAAGAAAGTTTATAAAGAAGTGGATGATAGCAACTCCTTTTTAACCGACGAAGAATCCCTTGCTTGATAGGGCGTGAACGAGTCCTGAGTACCAAATATACAAAATCGATATAATCTTCTGGTATTTTGTAATTACCTTTGCATAAATAAAAGCATACATATAAATAAGGTCATGCTGGACCTGTGTAGGTCCTTAAAAGGTTCCATCTTGGTTCTCGTCTGAATTTCGAGGTCACCGCGAAGTAAAATAACAAGAGGGTATTCCTTTACAAGAGGGAATCAGAGAGTACGAGAAATGCGGGCACCAATACGTTAAAATAAATACATATAAATAAGGTTATGCTTGTAAGTTCTAATGTTTGTAGTTTGCACAAAGACTAAACAAGGGCATCATAGTAAACACAGAACCTCACTCTCCACTAGGGGTAAGCATGGTCCGGGTGGGCGATTCCAACCTTAGAATCGGGAACCGCCCATTAAGGACCGGTTCCCAAAAATTGGAATTGGGAATTGCTCGTTATTTCCATGAATCCACCCGAAAATCGGATCGGCGGTCCGGTCCGGTTTCCAGGTGGGTCTATGGAATCGGTCCCATTAGTCAAGGGTGGAGACAGAAAGACGGAGATGGAGAGTTGGAGACGGTGAGACGAGCATCGACTGAGAAGAGCGAGAGAGTGAGAGTGAGAGTGAGCGTGGGGCAAAAACGAAAGAAGGTATTTCTTAGCTCAATGTGAAGCTGTGAGCGTCGAGCGAGTTAGGTTTAATTTAGAGATTTATGATTTAAAAAAAAAATAAATATTAAAGAAATATATTATATTATATATTATATTATCGATTTGGTTCGGGTAAGCGGACGGTTTCATACCTAAAATAGGGAACTGGACTGGTACCCACCGATTCTCAAAAATTAGAATCGAAAATTGGACCGATTTTTTTAGGAACCACCGGTCCGGTTCCGAGCGATCGGAGGCGATCAGGACGGTTCCCGTTTATTTTTTTGCGCATCCCTACTCTCCACTGGCCAGGAGAATAAGAAAAAGGCGAGAAACTATATTAACCCCCATCAAGAATCAAGAAAAAGTCTCTCTTTCTTCTCCTTCTTCCTATAAAGAGAGAAAAGGAAGGAGCTCTTTTGTTATTCTCCCCTTCTGCAGTCTGCACCAAGTTCCATCGCCCTTTCAGGACCAACCAACCCCCACAACCCAAAGCTCTCTCCCTCTCTCCAACAGCTTGAGATCAGTTCAATTCTTGCTCCTGTGTCCCTCTGAGTGATGGGTGTGTGCAGCCGGTGTTCCCACACTTCTCACATCACAGAGATCATCATCACCAGCTTCTTCCGCCACAAGCCTTAGATTCTCCACCTCAACAGAGACCGCAAAGAGAAAGAAAATCGAGAAAGCTGATCGCCTGAAGAAACCGCTTTCATGGAAGCAGCTTGAGCGAGAGACTTTGACCAAGAACCACCCTTTTTTGTCCTTCTTTATTTGCTTGCAACCTTTGCTGATGGCGGGCGGTGCTTCGGCTTCAGCTATCACGACTCTGCTTCAGAACCAGAGGGTCCCTCCTCTTTCTTCTTCTGATACCTTTTTCCTTTCTGGGTCTTCTCCTTTTCTGGGTACTCTCTCTCTCTCTCTCTCTCTCTCTCTCTCGATTTTGAGGAATTTATATACCTTCATGTAAACTCTGTTTGTGGAGCTTGGGTTCGTTTCTTTCGGTGGATGGATAGATTTCTTTGTCTGTTCGATTCATTTTTGTACTGTGAGTTCATATAGTGGACAATCATTTGGTGAAATAGAACACATAGATTAGTGTAAAACTGTGCAGGTGCAACTGATCCGCCAGTGTATATTCAAGAACTGCCCTATTAACCCAAGAACTGTTCTTCAGCATGTACAGCTTCTTGTGAAGAATGGTCTGTTTATTTTCGGAATGAGTTGTAATTAGGACCCTGTTGTTCCTAGTGGTCAATGGTCCTTACGGGACACTACCTCATTGACATGGTATCGTGGTGTAGGTCCAAGAGCCATGGTGAGCTTCGAAGATGCTCACAGGGGAAACAGATTGAGCAGACCATTTTTCCGGTCATTCGACCATGATGAAAACGGGGATGACGACCTGGAGGATTACTTCCATCAGCCTGAAAAGAAGAGGCGCCTAACTGTTGAGCAGGTACAGTTTCTTGAAAAGAGTTTTGAAGCAGAGAACAAGCTCGAGCCAGATCGCAAAGTCCAGTTGGCAAAAGACCTTGGATTGCAGCCGCGACAGGTGGCCATATGGTTTCAGAATCGGCGTGCACGGTGGAAGACAAAGCAGCTAGAGAAGGATTACGAAGCTTTGCAAGCTTCTTATAACAGCTTGAAGTCGGACTATGACACTCTCGTCAAGGAGAGGAATGATCTGAAAGCTGAGGTCAGGATCTTGATAGTTCAAACCCTCTAAAAACTGTGGCTTTAGCTGTATGATCAGTTCATAGTTGATCTTTCAGCGGTCACATTTTCATGCTTGCCAGAAAATGTCCAGATAGTGTATTATTATATATTACATGCTCTGGAAAATTTGATGAACTGATGAATGCTTTTACCAGGTTCTTAACCTCTCGGACAAGCTGCCTCACAAGGGAAAGGAGGAGGAGAGTTCCGAGTTGTCCAGCAAATCATCTCAAGGGCCATTCCAGAACCCCATTACCGATTCTGTCTCTGAGGACGAAGTGTCTAGAGTACCTATTCCTACATGCCGGCCCGAAGATATTTGCTCAGTCAAGAGTGACATGCTCGATTCTGAAAGTCCGCATTACACTGACGCTGGCCGCTCTTCGCTCTTGGAGCCCGGCGATTCTTCCTATGCTTTCGAACCTGACCAGTCGGATCTTTCTCAAGATGAAGAAGATAATTTGAGCAGGAGCCTTTTGCCCACGCGCAATTATCCAAAGCTCGAAAATGCTGATTACGCCGTCCCGCCCGCAAATTCGTGTAACTTTGGATTCCATGCTGAAGATCCCGCCTTTTGGTTTTGGTCATACTGAGGGCGCCTTCGATGTCCTCCCGTCACTCCTTTGTTTCTTGTATCATATGAGGGGACACGCTATAAGCATGCAATAAGCCCCATCAATAGCTAGCATCTGTCCAAATGCTGTAGTGAGTTTTCTCAGGAAATTTCAAACCTGTGGTGGTTTCCTTGTCTTAGGTTTTGTTTTCTTGGGGATTCCCCCTCAAATGGGATCTTCTGCTTTCTGTGTAAACTAAATAATGAAACCTTGTTTATCAATAGAATGTTGAGCATGTTGCCTCTGCTAGATTAATGGAGTTTTTACTGTGATCTGTAAATTCATCCTGGAGCTCCTGCAACGGGAACGGAACGTGGAAATAGAGAGACCTTCGTGCTCCGGAAACTAACTCGAGAACCGGAGCTCGCACGGTCGAATTGGTGGTGCGAGGGACCGAACTCGACAGCTGAGAGGCGCATACGGGATGACCCACATCCTTAATCAGTCTTAAAAAGGGAAGAGTTTCTCTTCCATCGGCTTATCAGCATGATGTGATGAAGCTGTTCAATCTCAGTGGTGAATGTTTCTTTCAATAAGCAAATATGCAGATGTTTTCAAGCTCTCCTGAGCCGACAACCCTTTGCAGATTTTGATCCTTTCTCAGTGGCAGGCACTGTCGAGGAAACTTTTTCCAAAGAACAAGAGTTGACTTTGCTGATCATAATTGCTTGTCGTCCAATTTCTGATGAATAGAGAGGAAGAAGCAAGTTTGTCATGAAGACAATGGAGAATGGGAGATTGGAAAAGAGGCTGCCAACGTTTTGCTTGGTCAATACTGTCACTGATTCAGGACATCATGCACCTTTAGAAACTAAGCTTGCAGGCTCCATTTATTTCGCAAAAAAATAAATGATCTGGTTAAATGATCTAGAAAATATTTTTCTAGAATTGATCGGTTGAAATAATTAATTAATAAAAAATATTATCATTATCGACAATAATATATGTCTAAATGTTTTTGTAGACGATGAAAATAATTTTCTTCGATTTATTTTTGCAAACAATAAAATCAATCATTTTTTGGAAAATATTTTTTAGGTTAATATCACGAAAAACGCCAAACTGGTACACCTGTGACAAATTTACCATAAACAAATTTTTTGACCACAAAAAATTCCAAACTGGTACAGCTGCGATAATTTTACCCAAAACTAATTTTTTGACAACCAAAAAATTAATTTGGAGTGAATTTGTCACATGTATACCGGTTTTGGGTTTTTCGTGGTAATCACCTGCCGGGAGGGTGGGCGGCCACCCGTATGCATAATCTCCGACATTTTCTTCGGCTGGGCGGTGGATGTGGCCAAGGCCTTCGGGACGAGGAGCTATAACTTCACCACTTGCGGGGCCTATGGGACCTCGACGTACGTGTCCTTGTGGCTCCACTTCCCACACCGTGCAACAGAGTCCTGCAAGTTCATGGTACCGGGATTCCCAGAACGATGCCTCTTCGACAAGTCGCGCCTCGTGGCGATGATCCGGGAGGCAGATGGGGACAACTTGTGGTCCAGATACCTCCGGCCTCAGTTCGAGCTCACTCTCAATTCGAGCGGGTGGTTGTGTAACACGTCCGAGGAATTTGAGCCACTCGGAGCGACCGCCCTGAGAAACCTGGTGAAGCTTCCGGTCTGGACCATCGGTCCCCTTCTTCCTGACGCGATTGTCAGGAACGACGGCTCTTCAGGTTCCTTGAATTCCATCTCTGAACATCGACCTGAAAATTAATTTGGAGTGAATTTGTCACATGTATACCGGTTTGGGGTTTTTCATGGTAATAACCCTATTTTTACATTATTTATTTGTCCCGAAAAACAACGCACCTGAAATAGGTATAATTATCAAAAAAGTCATAAATCTATTGTACGTCGGTCAATTCGATCATGAACTTTTTAATCATGCTAATTTAATCCTAATCGTCAAAAGGTTTAGGACTAAATTAGTACAATCAAAAGGTTTATAGCTAAATTGGCAAATTGTCAAAAGGTTTACGACTAAATTGTCACAATTGAAAGATTTATATCCGAATCGGCCGCCGTACAATAAATTTAGGACTTTTTGGATAATTTTTTTTCCCCCGGAACGCGATGAGTTTTCTCTCATAGTAGTTTAACTTGAGGTGAACGTATCGAACAAGGGGAAAAAAAGTCATAGATTGGAAATGAAGGATGAAGCTTCTGAATTTGGGAATATCATATGCAGGAGCTCAATCTCTTGGAAGATCTTATATGGCTTTACCCACACGGCATACCACCCCCACCGTCCATCCGCGCCGTCCTTTTGTTCGGATTACCTACCGACCATCTCAGAGGTCACGTTTTATAAGGTTTCACCTAGGACACACCGTCGCCCCGCCCCTCCCCAAAATTTTTTTTGAAAATAACGAAGAGGCGCGACGTGTACGGCCGAGATCGCACGAGCCCGTCTTTTCCTAAGCTGATCTCGCGATCAGAAATGCGGAAAGATCTCATCCAAAAACCTGGTACAAGGATAACCGAATCATTTCGACACGTCGGATAACGCGAGGCGTACGTGGTGTTCGCTTGATCGACGGTTGAGATCGGTCGGTCGATTCACACGTACCTAAATTTGGTTCGCTCAAGAAGCATTTTCCAACACAAGCAAAACTCCAAAGCCAAGCCAAATCTCGCTATCACAGGGGGGGGGGGGGCCCACCTGACGTGGCCACCCAAGTGCGACGTGGCCTCCTGTCTTTTGGTTTTCATTGGTGCTCAAGTCGTAGTCAAACCCACCATCTTTTTAGCTTCGATTTTTTCTTTATTCTTTTCTTTTTATTATGTTTCTTGATTTCGCCGTGGGGTACAAAATCACCTTCCCGTCGAAACGAAACTCCCGCTCCGCACGGCGGAATCAATCGGACCCGTCCCACGCAAAAGTCCAACACCTTTTAAATTAGCCATAATTTTTTTGGGTAACTACCATGAAAAACTCCAAATTAATATATCTGTAACAAATTTACTTCGAACTAATTTTTTAACCACAAAAAACCCCAAACCGATATATTTGCGATAAATTTACCTTCCCTTAAATTGGATTAATACAATAAAAAATAACAAGCTGATACACTTGTAACTCCAGACTGGTACAATCGTCAACTGCCACGTGTCATTAAACTCAGAAATTTGACGGTAAAATTTATCGGAAGCTAGTAGATGGTAAAATTGTCACATATGTACAAGTTTAGAGTTTTTTGTGGTCAAAATATTAGTTTTGGGATAAATTTATCATAAATGTACCGGTTTATGATTTTTTATAGTATTAATCCTAATTTTTTAGCACCTTCATTTAAGTGTTTGGGGGAAAATCAACAGGCTCAAAATTAAAAAAATTTGTAATAAAATTTAAAAGGATTGAAGTAAGAAATTAAAAAAAAAAAAGAAGAAGGAAAAAGAACAAGTTTGTGGTGGGGTCATGGAGGGATGCGGTGCGGCGGGTCCCGCCACCGAAGAAGGCGCCGATCACGACGGCGACGGGGAGGCATCTGTCCCCAAGAGCTGTCCCCACCCACCGGAAGCCCCAATACGATGACGTCAGCGCCGTGTCAGCCCCAGTCCGGTTGCTTTCAGCGGGTGTGGGGGGGGGGGGGGGGGGGCCCACGGGGTACACGTGCCCGTCCCGAGCTGACGTTTGCAACATAGGACTTTTCGGACAAGATCTGCCGAATCTACGATTCCAGAGATACGCACCCAATTTTTTTCTTACCGACCCCCCAAAAAAAAAAATTAATTACTAAAACTTTTTTCTCTCTTGATCCGCCGAAAGATGGAATATTTTCCTCACGTGAATCACGAGGGTGAAAAAATAAGAATAAAATAAATAAATAAGAAAAATCGTGGAGGGTCAAAGTCAACGGATCGAAGGCGTGGTGAAGTGTTGTGTGGGAGATGTCAAAACCTGTTCACACCCCCCTTCATTCTCGTTCGCGCATTATCCTAATGTGAGCGAAGACGACATTGAGCTTGCTTCGTGACTTGTAATTGTCACACCACGAATCTTACTAGAAAGGGGGAGTGACATGTGATACGGCCGTCCTTCCATCCGTAGGATGCAGCCTTGGACGCAGCCTCGAATACAGCCAAAGAACCAATTCCCGAAAATCTCCGTCGATATCGCTCTTTTTTAATTGTTAGGATTGCGAGTTCGACGGTTTGAGTAATCTTTGTCGATCGTAGGCATTCTCAGGTGAGTGGTGTTATCTCTTCTTTAAGTCTGTAAACTCATGTTTTGAAAGTGATAAGGATTTGAGTATCGTACGAGTTATTAAAGTATGTTTGTCGTATAAAAGTCCGGATCTGTAATTACTACCTTTCAATATTTAAGAATGATTTAATAATGGTTTTAAGAAATATATTGCAAATGGATATATATGTATTATATTGCGAACTAGTTTACGAAATGAGTTCTAAAATGATTTGAGAAACGTTTTATAAAAAAAGTTTCGAAATGTTGTACACATCAACTTGTGAATTTGGTTTATGAAATGATGTGAAAAATGTTTTGTGAAATGTGTTTCAGTTTGGCGAAGGAAGTTAAGAAAAATTATTAGTTTTGTTTTGTGAAATCAATTGGTGATATTGATTGTGGATTTGATTACTGGTATTGGAGGATGTGGGTTTTGTGCTCGATATCGTTGTGAACTCATTGAAGGGTAGGGGGTATGCATACCGGTTTAGAATATCCTTCTGAGCCAAGTCACCAGCTTTCTAGGTGAAGACCTTGCCAATGGGGAATCTTAGTAGCCATGTCACCAGGTATTATGTTGTGACCATTGTTTGATATTGAGCAATAGATTGGTTGATGGAATGGCCTATCGACGTGTGATGTGATATGAGATTCATGAATGGAATAGACCATTGATATGTGATTTGAGATTGGTCAATGGAATGGACCATTGACGTGATTTTCAATAAAGATTGATCAATGGATTTGACCATTGATATTTGATTTGAGATGATGATTTAAATGAGTATTTCTTATTTTGTATAAAGCCTTGTTGAAATGAAACAACTCGTGTTTGATTTGATATGTAAATTAAAGAGTTGGATTATGAGTTTTTGGTATTGCTCTCTCTTTCTCTCTCTCTCTTTATATATATATATATATAGTAGCTACTCGATCTGCTTAAAAGAGATATGTATTACCCACTGAGCTGTGATTGCTCACCCCTCTTTTCCAATCTTTTCAAGTTTCTTGATTAGTAGTTAATAGAGCGAGAGGGATGTCATCGGGACTTTTGGGAGTCGAATTTTATGTTGTGGTTTAAGGTTGCATGTTTTGGGTGGAAGGACGGCCGTGTCATCCCATTCTGGTAGGTTTCGGGGTGTGACAGAAATTGAGTTGGGAAAAAAGTTGGAATTGAAATTAAGTTCTTGACATTCCTGCTCTGAAAACCATGGCCGAACAATCATCGGAACGCTCTTCAAAAGAGTAGCCAAAGTAACATGGTTTTATGCAGAATGATGTCGGGACCAAGAAATGTGGTCTCGAGGCGTCTTGGCAACGTCACAATAGGAGTGAGCATGGTTCCAGGTTCTACCTTGGAACCTAAGAACTTGATCAGTGGGAACCTGTAGGTTCCAAGTTCCAAGGTATGCAGGGTAGGTTCCAGGTTTAAAAAATTGGGAAACATGTTTCGACTGATAGGTTCCAGGTTCTAGGTAAGTGGAACTTGGAAGCTAGAACCTGAAACCAAAATAAGTTTTTTTTTTGTGTTTTTTCTTAGTTTACATCTTCGCGTGATCCTGCTGTGTTTTATGACGTTAGATGATGAGTGTATAATCTAGAACCACTAGTCTGAGTTTTCATTTTATAACTTGTTAATGTTTCATATTCTTCGTGTATCTAAATATAATTTATGGTTAGTTGATCATAGCAGTAAGTGATAGTCATTAAAGGTGATGATTCACTACAATTGTTCAATTAATAATACAGGTGGAACTTGACTAGACTCTAGAACCGACCCTCGAATCTTGATAGGGTAGGTTCCAAGTTTCAAAAAATGAGGAACCTATTATGATGGGTGGAACCTATACGGAACATGGAACTGCTCGCCCCTAGCATCGATTCACGCAATGACTTTTCATTTTAGTTATATTTATTTAAATTGTAATGTCAAGAAAACTAGTCTTTTGTATTCTCTTTGATGAATGACAAGTTTGTTCAGTATTATGGCGTTCATTTTCGTTTTGATGAAATAAAATAAAAAAAACTTGTTAGACCTTGGAACTTATCCTGGAATCTATGAAATAGTAGGTTCCAGGTTCTAAAAAATAAGGAACCTGTACCCGAGGGTAGGTTTCAGGTGGAACCTGTAAGGAACCTGGAACCGCTTACCTCTACGTCACGATGCACGTTACTATTGCGAAAACAAACTAAGAGGGCAGCTACCCAGCCAATCTTTATAATTAAATACCGTTACCGTATAAGTAGATCTCATTGTAAAAGACCTATTATTAGATAATTCTTATTGCAGAACCGACTCGGCAATGTTTGCAAACGGAGAGTGTCAAGATCGATGGCATGGGGTCGCACCATGGAACTAAGCGAAACTCGACACGAGAGAGTTCCATGGTTCACAACTTCACACACTCAATTCCACCAATTTGCATTCATCAGAAACTTCGTAAGATTTGAGCCAGAGGAGGTCATTTTGCCTCACCTACAACAGTCACTGTCCCATCATCTATAATCTGTACAAACAATGCAAAAACACCAACTTGCCTTGTGTTGCTGGCTGAACGAGCCTCGGGGTGCTTTTCTCTCGGCTGGAATCAAGTCGATTCAGGTATAATAGCTTCTGTACAAATATCCCAGTCTTCTTAGCTTCGCAAAGTTTAGAATTTGTCTTCCATGTACAAGTCAGAATTTTGCGTTCTCCTTCAAGAAACATACCATCTCTTGCTGCAGCAAAATGACAGTGAAGGGGAAAAAAAAAACAGAGGTGATCGCCTGTCCATAATGGTCACACGAATATTTTTCAGAAATCTTAAGATGCATGGTGCGCCTAGCCATTTCTCCGAGGTGCGGTGTTCAACACATCGATTTAAATCTGTCTGTTCAGGTTAAACAGATACTCATCACGCATGAATATCATATACTTGGACTCTTTGTGAAAGGTCTTCTATTAGAGCAGGCAATATGCAATCTAAAGCTCCTCTGAAGTTGGAAAACACGACCGGAACAAAAAAAATTAAAATGGGTGCTTTCAAAAGAAACACCTCGAATATTCGGAAGACACTAGGGTTTGAGGAGGAAAGGGACTTACAATTAGGCAGAGCACAACGCAACCGGTAGCACCTGGGAAAATGGCATACCAAAAATTCAAGTGGTGCAACTTGGCAGCGTCAATGAACAGTATCGGCAAGCTCGCAGCTGCATTTGGTTCATACAAATGGTTTATCTTTTAAATATGTGTTACACACGTAATACGAAGTACCTTGAGATGAGAAATCATGAGGGCACAAATAGGTGGTTACCCGGTGGATGTGTTGAACGGGTATAAATCATGAAAGCAATAGATGCAGCCAGAGCCGTGCTCCGAGCAAGCCAACCTGGCCCAAACATGGAAAATGCTAGCACACCAATGGCCGCACATCCTATCTGAGCCATAAACATGTTATACTTCTGCATTGAAGAGGAAATGAATGAGTCCTTGGCCAAATGCAAGAAAATCATGCCATGTGGCAGCTGTAACCACACCAATCTTTCCGAGAGAAAAGAAGGTACTGCTAAATGCAAGTTCTTCTTGACATGTCTAATGACAGTAACGTTGATATCTGTCGGTTACTTGAGGCTCAATTATTTTCTGACTGGCACAAAGAATCCAGGGGACGTATCACCCAACACATTGTGGGAGACAACAAAGAAATGGTGCAAATTGGGCGATCCTGAAGAAGTGAAACTGGAAGATACTAAACCACAGAAGAGAGGACAAAACAAAGTCATCTTCTGTGGTTATATTATTTTCCACCACTATGAGAACATTGCTATGCTACATATGTATTTGAAGCTTGAAGTTTTTCTCTGGCACAGTAAATGATCAACAGATAGATGACAGCATGCCACGTTCGGTATCAATCTGGAAAACAATATGCATGTTAAAATAGAGAGGGATATATTCCAGAAGTTGAGGCCATGAACCCGAGTGATATCATGTTTCTCTTTTTTGCTGGGTACCGAGATATTTTTTGAGTAGTTTTGCGAATGAAATTTTTCTCATATTGGATAAATTCGAATACAACAAGATAAAGGTACCTTTTATATTTGCAATGCAGACTTGGAATTTTCTAAATTATGAATGCCACCTTCTCTTTCTTATTGTTAGGGAACAAGTAAATATGTACTCAAAATAGAGAAATTGTCAACACGAGCTGTCACGGCATTATGCCATAAAGTTGGCAGCTAATTCCCACAGGACGATGATAATATCTCCGCAGTGTACAAAGCAATTCTTCTTGGTTCAACTAAGGTGGACAAACTGTTAATCCAATCATTCCAATATAGATTTTGTCAATTAGATATTAAAAATCACTCTTGTTTTGCATCAGCTAAGGTTTTTGAGAACACAACACTTGCAAACAGACTAAAAGAAAGGAAAGGAGGGCTATGGAGTACCCGAGCAGCAGGGGAAGAGGGAGCAGTCAAGAGGACTGCACAAACAGCACCAAGAGGAGCAATTGTCATCGAAATTCCTTTTGGTGCTAAAATTTGATCCATCTTTTCAAATATCGCCATTGCAGCAAATGCCCCTATTATGCCAATATATTTCAAAATTAAAACTTACCTCGATCAACGTTGCATAACAGATTACTGCACATATAGTCATTGTATTAGCACTAAACTGTGCTCCAACAGAAAAGGCATAGACAAATTTGAGTTCATGCATACTATTATTTGAAAGACTGAAATGTCGCAAACTGTTAAGGTGACTCAGCAATGTAAGCTTGCTTTCCATCTGTAATCTTCCTTTCCATCTCTACTTCACAAAATGTCAATTTTGAGAGATCATTCATCTGTTTGCACAATGGTAAGCATAACCGAATGACAAAGACCTATATGACAGTCCACGAGGGAGATTTTTCATGGAAAAAACACAAGAAAGAAGGAATGAAGAAAAAGGACCATGGATAAGAACTCGGAGTACATCCAGGAGTGTTGACTTTCGAGAGGTTCATGAGACTAATTTCCAGCTCAGCAACCATTTGAAGGGACCAAGTGAAATTACTTACCTCATTGCAGTATGAACAACAAACGTCTTCTCTGTCTTCTCACAGGCAACAACAACAAATTTCAATTTCGTACAATCATGATTTCTCTATGAAGAATGAAACTAAAAGGAACTTTTCTACTGCATCCCTCAAAGACAGCATTAGCAAACAACATTGTGATCCTTCAATCGTGAGCAGAAATTCCCTAAATTATGCGCAAGCTCAGCGATAATGCAGAATATCGATTCCTTCTACCCAAGGCATTATTGTTTACACTTGTTTTGCTAAATCAAACAATCCCACATCAATGAACAGTAAGAGTAGTACCCAAGCTAGGCCTGGGCAAAACTTTCATGGACATTTCATGGTACACTATCAATCAGAAAAGTTCATATGTTAACTTAGTGAAAAGTTAACCGAAATAAACGGAAACTCGACAAAAGAAATGCCAAGAATATTGTCTGTTTTTTCTAAAAAGGGAATTTCGCAAAGGATAAATAATTATAGTAAAGCCGACGGAGGAAGTAATTAGCGACGGAGGCGGGGGATGATGCTAACCTGCGGCAGGCCAAGCGATGTCGCTGAGAGACGGCGCCGACGAAGCCTTGTCGGGCTTCCAGCTATCCCAGGACGGCGCCGCCGCATTGCCCGATGCCGCCACCACAACGTCAGACCCTCCGCTCCTCCGTCTCCGCCTTCCACTTCCCGCTCCACCGCCGGCAGCCGGTCTGTTCAAACCAAGACCGAGAGTTCTCTCCACCCAACGACGAGCATTGAGTTGCGGAGAACGATGCGACGGCGCAGATAACGATGGACCCAAACGTGTCAAGAACGGGCGGCGACCCGCAAGATTCGAGCGCGGCCGAAGTAGGTAAACGCAATTGACCTTCAGTTGCATGCCCATTTCGTCTCTCTCTCTCTTCCCTGCTTCGAGCCAATCGCTGAAGCTCAAGCATATGGTGTGAATCGTAGAGAGACAGAGAGAGAGACTCTGCTCCGTTGGTCACGAGGCCTTTGGAGGGGTCGAAAGGCCATATGGACGAGAGCGTCTATTATATTCATGCAAGAGACGGGACAAAGTGCCTCCACCCATTTCCTTTCCTTGGACTTTTGATTATAGCGAAGGAGGGAAAGACAAACACCATCAAAAGTCATATGGAGTTTTGTCGTATGATATAACCCAAGAATGGTGATGTTCACTTGTCTTTTCAACGATGGGTAAGATCACCCACGCTGCAAAAAAAAAACCAAAGATCGAGTCACCAACAAGCGAAGTGGACTCGTGACGCGATCTCAATTTCGGAGTCGAGAATGGCCACAGCGACGAGACCCGTGGTCGACGAGGATTAGCTTTAGAGGCGATCAACAGGCAAGCGGGTTTCGTCGAGGATGGCCCGAGCTTTACGAGAGTTTTAGGACCAAATAATCGGTTATTGGGCCTGCGGTGGTATACTGAACTCAAGCCCACGCTGAGAATCGCGCTTGGCAGGCCTAATAGGGCCAGGATGGGCTCTTATGATGGGACAGCCATCTCCTAAAGCTGCCAGAGGGGGCTCGCACATGTTCCACAGTACTAGAGGTGTGCAGAGAAATCAAGAATTGTTTGGACCGCCCGGAACCAGACTGGACCAGCCCGGAAACGGCGGTTCCCTTGAGGACCGGTCCGATTTTCGGTTCTAATTTACTAGAACCGGTGAGTACCGGTCCGGTTCCTGGTTCTAGGCGTGGAATCGCTCATCCGCTCACCCGGACCGGACTGGTAATATATATACACATATATATAATTTTTTAGAAAAATTTCAACCCAAAAAAAAAAGAAAACATTTTTAGAAAAATGAAAACCATAAAATCCATAATCTAAAGCTCGACTCTCAACTCCCATCAACTCACGGTTACGCTTTTAGTCGTTTATCGCCTCCCTCTCTCACTCTCGTTCATCGCCTCCCTCTCTCACTCTCGTTCACCTCCATTTGTGTGAAACTTAGTGGGACCAGTTCCATGGATTCACCCGGGAACTGGACCGCCGGTGCGGTCCAGTTCCCAAGTGGATCCAACGGGCAGTTCTCGGTTTCAATTTCTTGGAACCGGTCCTTAGTGGGTAGTTCTAAAAGAAAGCAAGATCGAAGACAAGGAGAGATGGCTTTGGGAGAAAATTCAATGTATATTTTCTATGTATTACTCAATACACGATGTACACATTTATAATACAATGCATAAATGAATAAAGGAAATACAAAATTCTACAAATCAAATCCAATCCACTTGATCTTTGCATATCATTCCAAACGATATCATATCAATCCAAATGATATCGCATATCTTCCAACACTTCCCCTCAAGCTGGTGGCTTGTAGATGTCTAAGACACTTAGCTTGCTCAGTAGATATGCATGCTGTTTTTGACAGAGGAGTTTGGTGAAAACATCCGCGGGTTGTTTTGCAGTCCCTATCCCTCTTGTTTCAATTATCCCCTCTTCAATCTTCTCCCGTGTGAAGTGACAATCTACTTCTATGTGTTTCGTTCTCTCATGCACCATAAGATTAGCCGCAAGCTTGAGAGCGGCATCATTGTCACAAAATAGTTTGGTTGGGCCCTTAATTTGTACCCCAAGATCTTGTAGTAAGCCTCGCAGCCATACTATCTCGCAAGTAGTTTTCTCCATTGCCCGATATTCTGCTTCTGCTGAAGACAGTGAGACAGTCGGCTGTTTTTTTGTCTTCCATGAGAGCAACGAGTCTCCTAGCTTAATGCAAAAAACCTGTGACAGATCTTCTGCTCATTGGACAGGTCGCATAATCTGCATTACAATAAGCCGTCATTTCCATGTTGCACTTTCTAGAAAGAAGTATTCCAAGTCCTGGGCATTTCTTTAAGTACTTGACAATCTAATGTGCAGCATTCATGTGAGACTGTTTTGGTTTGTGCATAAATTGGCTGAGCGTCTGTACCGCATAACATATGTCTGGCCTGGTCATGGTCAAGTATATGAGCTTACCAACAAGTTTCTGTTAGCCTGCTGGATCTTTGAGTATGGGATCATTTTCTTGAGAAGATCCCTCATCATATTCCGTCGTGGTCAGCTTGATATTATGTTCGATTGGAACAATAGCTGACTTGCATCCTGACAGACTTGCTTCTGATATAATTTCCAACACAAATTTCCGTTGACTGAGGGAAATTCCTTGATCGGATCGGGCAATTTCAATTCCCAAAAAGTACTTGGGTGATCCCAGGTCTTTTATATGGAATGTGGAATGCAGATACTGCTTGAAACTCTTTATGGCATTTTCATCATTGCCCATAATAAGTATATCATCAACATAAATCATTAAATAAATGGATGACATACCTTTTGTCCACGTAAAAAGGGCATAGTCAAAACGAGATTGCTTGAATCCTGCAGCTGTGAGTGCATTCGCAAATTTGTCATACCATTGCCGGGAAGCTTGTTTAAGACCATATAGGGATTTACGGAGACGACATACTTTATCCTCCCCCTGTCTTCGAAAGCCCGGAGGAACCTCCATATAAATCTCCTCATCCAAATCACCATGAAGGAAAGCATTATGGACATCCATTTGGTGTAAAGTCCAATTTTGGAATGCCGCAACCGACATGAAAGATTGCACAGTGACATCTTTGACTATTGGGGAGAATGTCTAGTGGTAATCAAAACCTTCCCGTTGTGTAAAACCCTTAGCCACCAAACGAGCCTTGTATCGTTCAATGGATCCGTCTGATCGATACTTAATCTTGTACACCCATTTGCACCCAATCGGCTTCCGATGAGGGGGCAGTGGCACAAGCTCCCATGCGTTATTCTCAATCAAGGCTTGCAACTCAGCTGCCATAGCCTTTTGCCATCGTGGATCAGTGGAGGCTTCATCATAGTTGGAAGGTTCCCGATCTTCAGATATTCGGCTAATACAGCATCTATGTTCCGACGAGAGTTTATTGAATGAAACATAGGCTGAGATGGGATATCGAATACCTGGTGAATTGTGAGTAGCACAGACATAGTCTTTAGTCCACGTGGGTGGATGTGTGATCCTCCTGGAACGTCGTGGAGGGTCTCTTGAAGTTTCCTCCATAACAAGTGATAATGCTTCGGCATGTGGAAGATCTTCAATGGTCGTATCGTCTTCCACTGGTTCCAATGTTGTTGATGGAGAAGCATCATCAGTAGGAATTATGTCAGGTATTGGAGAACCTTGAATAGTCGGAACATAGGTGGGATCCCTTAAACCTTCTTCGGTGGAAAAAATACGAGGAGCGTTTTTGACCCCTTCATCTCCCTTGGAGGAGTCACCTTCAAAAGGAAAGGTGTTTTCGTGAAATACGACATCCCTGCTTACGAAAAATTCTCCTGTGGATGGGTCAAAAAGACGATAACCCTTTTGTAGATTCGGGTAACCCATGAATATACATCGCCGAGCACGGGGACCCATCTTGTCCCGAGGGCTCGTAGAAATGGCATAACATAAGCATCCAAAAATTCGCAAATGGTCCAGATCTGGCCTTTTTTTAAATAGGAGCTCGAATGGTGACCGTCCGTTGAGTACCTTCGATGGCATCCGATTAATCAAGTAGGCCGCCGTTATCACGCAATCGCCCCAAAAAATTTTTGGAATAGAAGCTTGAAACTTTAACGCCCGTGCTACCTCCAAGAGATGGCGGTGTTTTCTTTCAACCACCCCATTTTGTTGCGGGGTGTAAATACACGAGCTTTCATGTAAAATTCCATGAGATGAGAAAAAATTATCGCACTCACGGTTGAAGAATTCCCTTCCATTATCTGTTCGGATGCGTCGAATAGATTTTCCGAATTGTATCTTTGATAAGAAAATGAATGTCTTCAAGTTATGGAAAACTTGAGCTTTAAACTGCATAAGGAAAACCCATGTAGCTCTGAAATAATCATCCACAATGGTGAGAAAGAACCGAGATACATCATGGTTCGGTGTGTGATATGGCCCCCACACATCAATGTGAATTAAAGAAAAAAATATCAGTAGCACGACTCTTACTAATAGAAAAAGGTATACGAGATTGTTTTGCAAGTGGGCAAATATGACACTGAGAATAAGGAAATAAGGCACTGTGCCCCATTCTAGAATGCATAAGAAAATTTTTATCATTGGCAGTCAAATTACACAACGATTTTTTATTGAAAGGAATGCATGACAAATCGAAATTTCTGGGAAAGCTGGTCCAAAAATATAATCCTTCAGAGAGATTACCCAAGCCAATCAGTCTGCCAGTCGAAAGGGCCTGAAAGAAACAAGTATCAGAATCGAAAAAAATTCGATAGGAATTTTCTTCACAGGCTCTAGACACAGATATGAGGTTGAACTGGAAGTCTCGGACATAAAGGACATTTCTGAGTGTAATTTGAGAACTAAGATTTACTGTCCATGTCGTAGTGACATGAGTAACATTCCCATTTGACAATTTCACAGAGATACGGATACTTAATTTTCTATGAATAATAGAGAATAATCCCTTATCACAGATAATATGGTCGCTTGCCCCTGAGTCAATTATCCAATCATTTATGGAAATAGAATTTATCAGGCAATGAGTAATACCTGAAAAACTACTTCCTTTGTTGGAAGTGTCTAATTTTTGTAATGCCTGCATAATTTGTTGATATTGTCCATATGTGATGGGCTGATCATTACTTGGACCAGTGACTTGATAAGCCGCAGCCGAGGATTCTTTTCCTTTCTTTCCCTTTTCCCCGGGTTTACCATGCAATTTCCAGCAGTTGTCGATCGTGTGATGGGGCCGCCTGCAATATTCACAAAATTTTTTTCCTTTTAAATTTTGCCCGAAAAATTTTTGCGCACCCGAAAAGCTTGGGCCGTTGGATGTCTTCGGATGGGTTTGATGCCCACCGTCCGATTACACTAAGGAATCGGTGCCTTTCCAGCCATCAGATCGTGAGTTGCGATCTCCACCGTCCATCCCATTCCTTTAATCTGCTCCTCCAGATCATTCCCCACAAACCCTCGCCGCTCCTTCTCTCGGTCTAGGGTTCTGGAACCCGATTCGCGACGCTCGTCGTGGGTCGCGAGGGCGATGCTTTCTGCTCCCCTTGCATGCTCCGGCGAGGCGAGTCGTTGGCTCTCTTCCTGTACCGCAAGCTGAAAGATGCGTCCGAGCGGCGGCACGGGGTCCATGGTGAGGATCTGCGATCTAAAGGTAAGGTAAGATTCATTCAAAATCAGAAGGAATCGTGTGACTTTCTCCCTGTCTTTCATCGCCCTATACTGTTGTAATGTGGTTTCGGGCCCCTCGAGCTTTTCCTCGACTGATTCCAGCTCGTTCCAGAGAGCCGACAGTTTGTTGAAGCATGCGGTTATGCTCATATTCCCTTGTTTTAGATCTGAAAGTTCCTGGGTGAGGGAAAAAATCTTCGCACAATCCAATTTCTCGTACATCTCTCTTATATTATCCCACATGTTTTTTGCGTCTTCTGTGGGGGGGAGTCCGACGGCGATTTCTGGGCTTATACAGTTCCCGATCCACGTTCTTACGAGGTGGTTGCATTTTCTCCACTGTCTTGCCATTCTCTCGTCATTCGGGATCGAGACAGATCCGTCGATGAATCCGTCTTTGTCCTTCGTCACAAGAGCCCGTCGGAACTCCTGTGCCCAGATCAAGTAATCTCCAGATCCCGTGAGATGGTGGCTAATCAGCTGCAACTCCGGTCCATCGGCGGCGGAGACGTAGAGAGCGTCGCCGGGCTCTGGTCGGCCAGTGATGGCCGTCATTGAATGCTGCAAATAACCGGGTGGCAGAACCGGGTAGGGATTTGGACCCATACCCGGATTTCCTGACCCGATCGATACCCCCGCATTGACTGGTTCGGATCCTTCAGTTGGGCTTGCTCCACTTGTGGCTGGTAGGCCACTGTTGGGCTGAACATTCACTTAGCCCGCCCTAGGTAATGATGCGTTTGGGCTTGGCCCAAGGTACCATGGACTCGGTATCCATTGGTAAGGATGGCTCCCGATTGGCTGGACCACAATGGGCGGGCCCGATAGGAGCTGCCCTGTATTTGTCTGAGCCTGATAGGGTTGCCAAAAAATGGGCTGGGCCTGGCTCCCAGAAACCATAGTCCGTGGATCCAGAGTCTGTGGAATTTGTGGGGTAACTCCCTCTGAGGCATGTTGATCCGTAACATCTTCTGGGGAAGTCCGATCGGAAGATGATGGTTGTTTCTGATTTATGATGAGGGTAAGTGTGTAGCCTTTAGCCTTTCTTTGTCTGCTTACAATCTGATTCCTTCACCGGAAGGGTACCTTGTTTTTTCAGGTCCAAATTCTCGGCAGACAATCGTTGAGGACTTGCGGAAGCTAAGTCAGGAGCGAAGCCGCTCTGATACCATGAAAGAAAGCAAAATCGAAGACAAGGAGAGATGGCTTTGGAAGAAAATTCAATGTATATTTTCTATGTATTACTCAATACACGATGTACACATTTATAATACAATGCATAAATGAATAAAGGAAATAAAAAATTCTACAAATCAAATCCAATCTACTTGATTTTTGCATATCATTCCAAACGATATCGCATATCAATCCAAATGATATCGCATATCTTCCAACAAGTTCCCGGTTCCATGTTGGGAACCGCCCGCCCAGACCACGCTCACCCCTACATAGTACCACCTGTGAATAGTGCCCACAGTTAGTCCTCTTTTACTTCGAGACCTCGCCTAACGGCGAAAACTGACCCCGCCCTGCCCGCGTAAGGGCGAGGTCTCCGCATGGGGCTGCAATGCCCATGATTGGGTGAGGAATGAGGATGGACGAGGACCGCAGGGTCCAAGGAAACATATACAGTTCATATTGGGAAAACATTGCCTTATGGCATAGAAGGACTTTGGCTATTCCGCTGGTGCAATTCAACAGCACCAACGCATACTCGTCGCTAAGTCACCGGTTGGGTGGCCTAATTCAAAGATCAAAGCAAAATGTTTCTTCCACAAACAAGATAGCATCTACTGGAGCTCTTTTTCTCGAGATTTGTATTTATTGTTTTTTGGATCTCCGATAATGATATTGGATTGCGGAAGTGTGGTTTGATATCTCCGAGGCCAGCGAGACGAGCGCATTCAGCTCCCTCATTGCGGACGAGTTCTGCGTCCGCCACCAGGGTTGCGGCCAGATCTGGATGAGCGGTTCGCAAGCAATGCCAATGCTCGTCCATGGCCACCGTCCGCGTCATTCGGCCAGATTTGGTCAGCGTTTGAAGACTGAGGTTGGGCTTTCGGTTTCTGGTTTTTCTGTGATGGCGTAGAGGTTATGGTACAGTGATGGGGTTTGTCGTTGGTTCGTTTTTCAACGATTTGGTTGAACTTGCTGCGAGGTGTGTACACTAATAAGCAAAAGTATCTCTCTCGAACAAGCAAAAGGCTTGATTTTTTTTCATGGAAAACGAATCAGATTAAAGCACACAAGTCGTCAAGGATCCTCTTGATTTTTTTTTCCTAGTTAGTTCGCATCCCTCTCAGCAAAGCACACAAGCTCTCCCACACAAGCACAAAAGGTTTGAATTTTTTCGTGGAAAATGAAACAAGAGCAAAACACACAAGCACCATTTGTTAACAGATGTTAACAAATCATGGACGGGCTACGATTCTATGGCGCAATTGAGACCCCGACGTGTGAAAGAAGAAGAAGCAAATGATTAAGGGAGGAGAGAGAGTAAATTACGAAAGTGGGCCTTACTTGGCAACGGGGAGCAGAATGACATAAGCAGGCCGGGACAACCTAATATTTTGTCAGGATCAATAATCGACTTAGATGTTACATTGTCAGATATTTTCTTTTTGCATTCATCTAGGCCACATGCTCCCACTAGCACTGATAGGCTAGAGTTTTGTAGGCATTTCTAGAGGAGTTTAGGCTTTTGACAAAATTGATCAAAACTTTTAACACTTCTTCCTGATCAATTTCTGTGACAATCCGAGCATGCTTCACCGACTCTCGACCTTGGCTTGAAATTCTTCTTGTAGTGTGTCTCGTGCTTTTTTTTTTCGCAGTTTTCGCCTTATGAGCTCTCGCGTCCTTTTATAGTTATCCCGCCAAAACACTTGCACCTTCTTTTGGAGCATCTGTTTTCTCGACGATGTCCCATAAATACCGTGCCATAAAAAATGCTCCAATAATCATAGTTGTTCTCGTTGAAAGTAGAGATGGGTAGTTTTTGTGAGGCAACGCTAGCCATAATTTTAGTGTTGAAAATATAATAAATGATTTTAGTAAAAGTTGGTTAGGACAAACGCCTAATACCAAGTGAACGAGGCTTTGGTTCTGGCTCTAGCTCGGATCACTCTTGTAACACACTCAACCTATTCAATAGAATTTACCTTCCTTGCCTTGCTTGCCCCTTCACTTGATCCCTCGCTAAAGTCTTGTTACACACGCATACACACAATTGCACACGCTCACCAAAAACTAACAGAACTATCTCCCGCAATCTACCGTATTGCTACAGCAGCAAACAAAGCTCAGGCCAGTTAAGATTCTGCTACTTTCATTTGAAGTCCCCACGGGAGACCCTATCTTGCCATCCTCCATCAACCGCCAGATTGTGTCCGTTGATGAATTCGGCCTCTTCGGAAGCAAGGAACACCACGGCATCGGCCACATGCTTCGCTTTCAGCGCTCCTTTCAAGCATGAACTAGACTCGGTCATCCTCTCACCTTCCTCCTCACTCAAGCCGTGCACTCGACAGAGTAACGGTGTTGCGACCGCTCCGGGTGAGACACAGTTCACGCGTATACCGTATGCTCCAAGTTGCTTGCTCGCCGACCTCACCAGACCCAACACGGCATGCTTAGACATTGTGTAGTCTACCAAATTCTCGTTTCCGGTGCTGGCCCGGATGCTTGCTGTGCAAATTATGCTTCCCTTTATGGCTCCTGCCACCATGGCACGCGCCCCGTGCTTGACACAGGCGGCCATTCCCCTAACATTGACGGCAAAAAGGCTTTCGAAAGCCGGTATGTTGAACTCGAGAATGTCTTGTTTGACGTCATTCACTATGCCTGCATTGCTGAACAAGATGTCTAGGCGACCGTTTGATTGAAGAAGAGTTGATTCCACCAAGGACTTCACCTGTTGCTCATCCGTGACATCGCAATGGATGTAGGTGCACTGGTGGGATCCGATCGATGCTGCAAGGTCGCGGCCCTTTTCGTCTTGGATGTCGGCAATCACGACATATGCGCCGTGAGTTGCCAATCGACGCACTGTCTCCTCACCGATGCCACTCGCACCACCGGTGACAATGGCTACTTTGCCGTCAAGTTTGTTTGAGGCGCGGCTTGTCATTTCTGTAGGCAGAGAATGGAAAACTGAATACAGAAATGGCCTATGAAGTTGTGCCGAGGGAGATGCAGAGCCACTTCATATATAGAACTAGAGAAAGGGCAAAGCACAACTATGTTTACATTGAATGTTAGGTGTTGACTTTCTGTTTAATATTCAATTATATACGAGATTTGAATTCAATAATGAATAAAATTAGTAAGTTATTGGTAGGCTATAACAATCAGATTGATATGGCCTATTCATTAGATTATGGCTGGTTGTATCAACCTTGCTAGAATCCTCATTGCTCTAAATAAGATGTATATAACTCGTGACCAATGGGCTTTGGTGTGAGGATTGGGCGAAGTTTCCTCTCCGCATGTGGGCCGGGATGGGTGTAAATATGGTCGGTCCTGCCCCTGCCAGACGCTATTGCCACCCGCAATCTTATCCTTGAAATTTGGAAATTCGTGAGCTTAAGCTGATTTCTTTATAAGCGCTATATTATTTTGGTATTATAAAGTTTTTTATTTTCTCCAAAAGTATCAATATAAATAATGGATACTTTCAATTATTTATTCATTTTTCGTTAACCATGAAAATTTTTCGAATTAAGCTTTTTCGATTTGATTCTTAGATAGAGTATTTATGGTCTTTTGGCAAGTGAGGTAATTAAATTCAGACACCGACTAGGATTGAGAATAGAGGGGGGACGGGAAATCTCCAATAATAGTGGTTAGTGGAGTGGGATGAGATAGCTTTTTAAAGCCACGTGGATTCTTTGATAGGTGTGTAAATTTCAGTTTCGATCATTATTTCCTGCGCATTTGTTGAAAGATAGCTTTTTAAAATATTTTCTCCTTCCTACGTGGCGTTAAAGTTAACTAAAACACTAAAATCATGTCGTTTTGATCAAAATTTCAAAATTTTAAATCTAAATTTTAGTTAAATTAGATTAAAAAATAAGATAGCTAAAATTTTTTATTAAAAAAAAAAGAAAATACATGGGCGGGAGGGCTGGCCTAGCCCTCTCTCCAGTGGCCGTCGCCCCATCACCGGTGGGGCGTCGACGATGGCCGGCGACCCTCTCCCAGATTTGGGCAAGGGTTGCCGGCCCTTGCCCAGATTTGGGAGGGGGTCGCAACCCTCTCCCGATCCTGGCGAGGGCTAGTGATCTTGCCGGCCATTATCACTGCCCCACTAGTGATGGGGTGGTGGACACAGGCGAAGGGCTTGGCCCTCCTTCCACTGATTGTTTTTTCTATTTTTTGTGTTTTTTTTATTATTAGATTTTTTTTTTAGTTTGTCTTTCATTTGGAAAAACTTTTGGAACTTTTTAATCTAATTTAATTAAGTTTTGGTGTAAAATTAGGATTCGGATTAAAATAACGTCGTTTTAATGCTTCAGTTAACTTTAACGCCACGTAAGAGAGAGAAAATAATAAAGAAAACCATGTCAGCATTTTCCGTTAATCAAATTGGACGGAGTTAACGGAAGAATTTGATTGAACAAATTTAATAAGTTTTAGGATTTCATTGCACTTTTTGAAAGTTTTAGGACTTAATCGCACTTTCGGGATAAGTTTTGGGATTTCTACTGTACTTATCCTATTTTTTTTTATGGTAGCCGTGTATAAAATATTAAGAGATAAGTGCATTGAAAGTCCTAAAACTTATCACGAAAGTGCAATTAAGTTCTAAAAGCTACAAAAAATTGCAATCAAGTCCTCAAACTTGTCAAATTGGTGCAATCGGGTCCTTCCATTAATTTCGTCCAACTTGACTAATGAAAAATGCTAACATAGCTTTTTAAATATTTTCTCTTTCCTACGTAGCAATGATATAGCTAAAAGATGAAGCATAATTCCAAAACGACGTCGTTTTGGTCCACATCTGATTTTTAATACAAATTTTATTTAAATTAAAAAAATAAGCTAAATTAAATATTTAAAAGAAAAACCAAGTAGCAAGGGCCGCCCCACCATCGCTGGGAGGATTGTTGGCGGTTGATTGTGGTCGATGAAGGTCGCAATCTAATTGTATGATCATGGTAATTCTAAAGTTAGTGCGCATTTCCTTTTTAGTCAAAAAAATGATAACGGTATATATTTTTTTATAATTCTATTACTAAATAATATATAGCAGGATGTACATAGTTCCAAGCAGATATTTCGCTGATCCATGAGCAAACCCAGCACATGATCTGGGAACCTCCAGAATCATAATTTGGTCATCGATGAAAAGGTAGAGAGAACATGATAGACTTTCATCATCCGCTTCAAAAGTACTTTAGGGCTATCACCATCTTCACAGTGAAAGATGCCTTTTCCGTGGTCTTCGCTCCAAGAGCTCCGGCATCTTTTTGTAGTTACTCTGCCAAAACACTTGCACCTTCTTTCGGAGCATATGTTTTCTCAACCTGTGTCCTGTAAATCTTGCGCCATCAAAATGCTGCAACAATCATAGTTGTTCTCATTAAAAGTAGAGATGGATAGTTTTTGTGAGGCAAGAAATGTTGTCGGGTGATTTTAATAGAAGTCAGGCAGGACAAACGCCCAATACCAACTGAACGAGGCTCTCTTGACTCTGGCTCTAGCTCCAAATCACTATTGGAACACCCATAAACTATTCAATAGAACTTCCCTTCCTCCTCTCTGTTGCTCCTTCGCTTGATCCCTCGCCAAAGTCTTCTTACACACAGGTACACACAATTGCGCACACACCAAAAACTAAAAGCATTGCTACAGCAGCAAATAAGGCTCAGGCAAGTTGACATTCTGCAGACTTTTATTTGAAGTCTCCACAGGAGACCCTATCTTGCCCATCCTCCATCAACCGCCAGATTGTGTCCGTTGATGAATTCGGCCTCTTCAGAAGCAAGGAACACCACGGCATCAGCCACATGCTTCGCTTTCAGCACTCCTTTCAAGCATGAACTAGACTCATACATCCTCTCGCCTTCCTCCTCGCTCACGCCTAACACTCGACAGAGCAGCGGTGTTGCAATTACTCCGGGTGAGACACAGTTCACGCGTATACCGTATGCTCCAAGTTGCTTGCTCGCCGACCTCACCAGACCCAACACGGCATGCTTAGACATTGCGTAGTCTACGTAATTCTCGTTTCCGGTGCTGGCCCGGATGCTTGCCGTGCAAATTATGCTTCCCTTTATGGCTCCCGCCACCATGGCGCGCGCCCCGTGCTTGACACAGGCGGCCATTCCCATAACATTGACGGCAAAAAGGCTTTCGAAAGCCGGTATGTTGAACTCGAGAATGTCTTGTTTGACGTCATTCACTATGCCTGCATTGCTGAACAAGATGTCTAGGCGACCGTTTGATTGAAGAAGAGTTGATTCCACCAAGGACTTCACCTGTTGCTCATCCGTGACATCGCAATGGACGTAGGTGCTCTGGTGGGATCCAATCGACGCCGCAAGGTCGCGGCCCTTTTCGTCTTGGATGTCGGCAATCACGACGTATGCGCCGTGAGTTGCCAAACGATGCACTGTCTCCTCACCGATGCCACTCGCACCACCGGTGACGATGGCTACTTTGCCGTCAAGTTTGCTTGAGGCGCGGCTTGTCATTTCTGTAGGCAGAGAATGGAAAACTGAATACAGAAATGGCCTATGAAGTTGTGCCGAGGGAGATGCAGAGCCACTTCATATATAGAACTTGAAAAAGGACAAAGGACAAATACTTTTATATAACTGTTTGGTGTTGACTTTCTGTTGAATACTCATGATACACGAGGTTCGGATCCAATAAACATATCCACTTGATCCCGCATGTTATTTTGTAACGATTCATTTTTTCATTTGTGGCTTGAACAAATGATTCTGTGATAGTTTTCGATGAATAGAATGGGCAAGTTGTTGGTAGGTTATCACAATCAATTTGATATGGACTCTTTATTTGATTATGGCTTGTCGGGATGGCAACTTTATCGGCTCGCTAGATACCCGCGTTACACCCCTTCAACAGGATGGATATGGTTGGCCCCGTCCCGTCCCTCCCTGCCCACGATCATACCCTTAAAATCTGAAATTTTTTTGTACGACTTGTATAATTTTGATAATATGTAGTTTTTCCATATTTCTTCGTTGATATTAACATAGTAGTGCATACTTTCATTAAATTTATTCCTTGTTTCTCATTAATTTATCACAAAATTTTCGAATTGAACTTTTGCAAGCAATTCTTTTTTTCTTCCTCATTTTAAATGAGAATCTCTGTTTTTTTTTTTGGCAAGTGAGATAAGATAAATTCGGATACTGACTAAAGTTGGAAATGGTAGGAGTGAGCAAAAAAAACCGCCCGGACCGGATTGCACTGGCCGGTTTTGGGTGGTTCCTAAGGGCACCGATTTGGTTCTTGATTCCAGAAATTAGGAACCGGTCCTTCTGGTCAGGTTCCTGGGTGGGAACTAGACCACGCACCCGGGAACCGAGGTTCCTGTCCAAGAGCCGATCACCCCTAGGGAATGGGGTACATAAAATGTCCCACTTGAGACAAGAGCGAGAATGGGCATCTTCAATAATAGTGGGGCGGGATGCGAGACGAAATCCCCACAATCTTCCTACCCTATTGCCATCCCTATTTTTGCACGTTAGTTCTTCGTATCAACTTCTTGATTAATAATATGGTTAATACCACGAAAAACCCTAAATTGATATACTTGTAAAAAATTTATTCCGAACTAATTTTTTTATCACCAAAAATCTCAAACCGGTACACTCATGACAAATTTACCCAAAACTAATTTTTTAATCACAAAAAACTCCAAACCGGTATACTTGTGACAAATTTACCTTCTATTAAATTAGATTAATACCACAAAAAATCACAAATTGATAAACATGTGATAAACAGAAGAATAAAACCCAAACTGGTGCATCCGTCAACTGTCACGTGTCATCAAATCCAGCAATTTGACGGTAAAATTTAACGAAAACTAACAAAAAGTAAATCTATCACAGGTATATCAATTTAAAATTTTCGATAATTAAAAAATTAATTTAAAATAAATTTATTATAAATATACCAGTTTGAAATTTTTCATTGCGTTAATCCTTAGTAATAACTCATTGAGCCTTTACAGTACATACAAGCCTTGACAGGTCTGCAAATTTCAGTTTTCATCATTGGTTCCCGCACATTAGTCAAAAGATCTTCAAATCTGTGTAATTATTATTTTTTTATATGGTAACCATGCATAGAATATTAAACACTAACTTTTCGAGGGACTCAGCCATGTGACCCACGAACATGCCTTGTTGGCCTCGAATTACATACTTAGCCTCTATTTATTTCATGAAAAATAAATAATTTAAAAATATTTTCGAAAGACAATCACTTACAAAAATGAATAGACTCAAAATATTTTTATTATCTGTGAAAATATTTAGATATAAATTATCGCTGATAACGAAAACATTTTTCATCGATTAATTATTTTAAGCAACACAAGCGATCATTTTTCGAAAAATATTTTTTAAATTATTTATTTTTTGCGAAACAAACGGAACTTTAAAGAAAAACCCTAGTTTGATTGCTCGAAGACAGGTAGCTAGAATTCATTATCAAGAAAGGTGAATATCATGCACTTATCCAACACTTCAATTTCTTCTTGTGGCCACAACAAATTGAAGTCCTTGTCCTTAGCAACTTCCCTGCCTGCATAAAGACAGATGATTTGGAAAGGAAGAAGATAAAAATCAGTTCGAAAATGTCTCCACCAATGGTGCCGCCGGTGAGTGAGGTTCGGGTCAAGAGCTTCGTCTTCGATAGCCCATTATGCCGATCCTCCATGGACCACCAGATCATGGCCGTTGATAAATTCGGCCTCTTCGGAAGCCAGAAACACCACGGCATCGGCCACATGCTTCGCTTTCAGCATTCCTTTCAAGGTTGAACTAGACTCGAACATCCTCTCGCCTTCCTCCTCGCTCACGCCGTAAACTGCATAGAGTAACGGTGTTGCGACCGGTCCGGGTGAGACACAGTTCACTCGTATACCGTGTGCTCCAAGTTGCTTGCTCGCCGAGCTCAGCTGACCCAGCACGGTATGCTTAGACATTGTATAGTCTATGTAAGTCTCATTTCAGGTGCTGGCCGCGATGCTCGCCGTGCAAATTATGCTTCCCTTTATGGCCCCCACCACCATGGCGCGCGCCCCGTGCTTGACGCAGGCAGCCATCCCTCGAACATTGACAGCAGAAAGGCTTGCAAAAGCAGGTATGTCGAACTCGAGAATGTCTTGTTTGATGTTATTCACTATGCCTGCATTGGTGAACAAGATGTCTAGGTGACCGTTTGATTGAAGAGTCGATTCCACCAAGGACTTTACCTGTCGCTCATCCGTGACATCGCAATGGATGTAGGTGCACCAGCGGGATCCGATCGACGCCGCGAGGTCACGGCCCTTTACGTCTTGGATGTCGGCAATCACGACATATGCACCGTGATTTGCCAACCGACGCACCGTCTCCTCGCCGATGCCATTCGCGCCACCAGTGATGATGGCTACTTTGCCGTCAAGTTTGTTTGAGGTGTGGCTTGTCATTTCTGTAGTCAAAGAATGGAAAACTGAACACAGAATGAAGTTGTGCTGAGGGAGATGCAGAACCACTTCATATATTTTACTTGAGAAATGGCCTATGAAGTTGTGCTGAGGGAGATACAGAGCCACTTCTTATGTAAAACTTGAGAAAGGACAAAGCAAAGTATGTTTACATTGATTATTCGGTGTTGACTTTCTGTTGAATATTTATACATACACGCGGTTTGGATCCGATAATGAATAAAATTGACAAATCATCGGTAGGCTACAACAATCAAATTGATATGGACTATTCATTGGATTATTGCTAGTTATACCAACCTCGCTAGAATCCTCGTTACACTGCTCTAAATAGAACGGATATAATTTGCAACTAATGGGTTTTGGTGTGAGGATGGGGCGAAATTTCCTCTCCGAATGTGGGCTTGGATGGATGTGAATAGGGTCGACCTTACCTCGCTGGATGCTGTCGCCACCTACAATCATATCCTTAAAATTTGGAAATTCATAGGCTTAAGCTAATTTTTTTACATGTGTTGACTTTCTGTTGAATATTCAATTTTACATGAGGTTTGGATACAATAATGAATAAAATTGGCAAGTTATGGGTAAGTTGTAACAATCAAATTGATATGGACTCATGATAGGATTTTGGCTCATTACATCGACCACGCTAGAATTCTCGTTACACTGCTCTAAATAGGACGGATATAACTCGCAAAAAATGGGTTTTGGTGTGGGGATGGGGCGAAATTTCCTCTCCGCATGTGGGCCTGGATGGATGTGGATATGATCGACCCCGCCCTGCCAGACGCTGGTGCCACCTGTGATCAGATCCTTAAGATTTGGAAATTCGTAGGCTTTAGCCGATTTTTTTACATGCGTTGACTTTCTGTTGAATATTCAATTATACACGAGGTTTGGATCCAATAATGAATAAAATTGGCAAGTTATTGGTAGGCTATAACAATCAAATTGATATGGACTCTTCATTAGATTATGGCTCGTTATATCAACATCGCTAGAATTCTCGTTACATTGCTCTAAATAGGATAGATATAATTCCCAACTAATAGGTTTTGGTGTGAGGATGGGGCGAAATTTCCTCTTCGAATGTGGGCCCCGATGGATGTGGATAGGGTCGGCCCCGCCCCGCTCGATTTTGTCGCCAATCGCGATCATATCCTTAAATTTTGGAAATTCGTAGGCTTAAGCTGATTTCTTTTGTTGTATAATTTTGGTATTATAAATTTTTTTCATTTTCTCCATAGATACCAATATTAATAACGCATACTTTCAATTATTTATTCAATTTTCCTCATTAGTCAACCATGAGAATTTTCCAAATATACTTCTACGATTTAATTCTTAGATGAGTGTTCCTTGTCTTTTGGCAAGTGAGGTAGATAACTTCAGAGACCGACTAGGATTGAGAATAGAGTGGGGACGGGGCATCTCCAATAATTTAATAAATAATGCATCGAGTCTTTATAATATATATAAATTATGCAAAATTTTAGTTAAAAGCCATGTGGATTTTTTTGATAGGTCTGCAAATTTCAGTTTTGATAATTATTTCCTGCACATTAGTTGAAAGATGTTCAGATCTGTGGATTTTTTTTTTTTATGGTAGCCATCCATAAAATATGAAATAGTAACTTTTCTAGGGACCCAGCCATGTAACACCATATGCACAATTGCGCATGCCTTGTTGGCCTCGGGTTACTTAATTTCATAAAATCCTACATTGGTTAATTGAAAAAACATATGCACCATGTCTAGAATAATGTACAGAGACATGTAGCTAGTATTAATTCTAAATTTTCTTAGCAACTTTCCTGCCTGCATAAAGAGAAATAATTTGAAAAAAGAAGAAGAAGAAAAGAAATATGGGTTCGAAAATGTCTCCATTAATGGTGCCACGAGTGAGTGAGGTTTTAGGTCGAGAGCTTCGTGTTCCCGCTGACAATGTAACCTCCTGGCTCTGGCAGCACCTTGTTTCTCTGTAGGGCGGGTCCTATATATTTTCAGTGCTTCAATTATATTTTCTGAATTTTAATTTTTTCGGTAGTAGACAAGACGGTCAATATTCATGGATAATGTTATCACGGTAATACTGAAATGTATATGCATTTCTTTTTTTGTCAAAAAATGATAAGTATATATGTATATTTTTTACAATTCTATTACCAAATAACATATAGCAGGATGTACTTAGTTCCAAGCAGATATCTCGCTAATTGATTAGCAAACGTAGTACCAGTATCTGGGAACTTTCAAAATGGTAATATCTCATCAATGAAAAGGTTGAGAGAACAAGATGACTTTCACCATCTGCTTCAAAAGTACTTCGGCGCTATCACCATCTTCATAGCGAAAGATTCCTGCCACAGCCAGACTTTCACTTGGTCGATAGCACAGAAAGGAGGCCAAGAAAGGGCCACCATCGTTTGTCCTCCACAGGGGATTAGGCCAGAGAAAGGACCATCTTCATGTTTATAGGAACACGGATGATATGTCGACACGAGGATATTGTCCTTCGTTTTAAGTGTGGGTGCTTGAGTCTGTTTAGGCAATCACGGGGCGAGCACGAGCTCAGATCACTGCCTAAAGGATGACCATTCAAGCAACATTCGAAGTTTATAATGGTGGTAGAGCCCGAAATCCTGCTGCTGGGGTCCTATGTCATCGTCATGGTCTTTAGGAACAGATAAGACCTTAAGCCAAGAGTGGCAGACTAAGCATCAACCTGAATTGAATGGAGAAATCGCCAGAGTACAGACCGATCATAAGACAAAGAAATCGTCACCAGCAAAATACTGCACTAGGAGTGTACTATGGAAATTGAATATGGATAATCAAATATCTCCAAAACCTGTTTACTTGTTTACATGCATTGTGCGTGTGGTAGAAGCCGAGAGCTCATTGTCCTTGGATGTCCAACAGGAAGAACTAGAGATATATTTTCTTGAGATGCAACAGCCAATTTTGCTGCTAGCTGCTTAGGAAGATCTTCTCTCCCAACAATTAGCAGCAGACATAAATTGGCAGATTAAAGTCTCGTTCTACGTTTTTCTAACTAGATCATATCGCAAAAAGCAAATTCCTTCTCCATCCACTGATCAAACCGAATATAAAATACACAATATCTGCACCATACCTGAAGATGTATCGTCTAAGAATGACCTCATATTGATTATACGGTTTCCTTTCTCTAGCGTCAAGTCATTACCACTGACGCAGAGGAAGATATACTTGGAAAAAGGATTTCAAAGGATAATGTTTATTCTGAATAATGAAGTGCGTTTACAATATCATAGATGTCTATTTATAGGGAGGTCGTCCTTTAGAAAATAATCAAATAACTAAAATCAAATAACATAATTAAGGAAAGAAATATTGATAAAGCAGAAAGTCTTCAAAACGCGTCCGAAATCTCCAAAGGCCAGGAAATCAAGAAAACCGTGAATTTGGAGATCGCATGTTGCTCAAATCGGCGTAGCCATTTTGCAGCTTTGAAGATCTCGCAATCCTCTTTGATTTGATATGATCTCGCAATCTTCTTTGCTTCATTTATGATGCGGGTGGGATCGCCCGCTCTTATGACCTCTTATGACAATCGACGGTCTCCATGTAAGTATTTGCCGGCTGTTCTACATCAACCAGAGACGACAAATAATGTGTGCATGCATTGGATCTGTATTCAAACATGTAGAACTGGAGTTGTCTCGAGACATGTTATTGACATACCTGAAGCAGATTTTGCTTGTGATTGATCTACCTGATGTTTCAACAAACATTTTATGAAATATAAAAAATGCCAAACTAATATTGCTCTCTTGTGCATAGAAATGGTGCAGTAGTTGGTTAACATGAACTTATTGCTTTAGTTTCGATCAACGAAGAGCAATTTATTTCCGTTTTCTGCGGTCATGACCGTTTTTCACAAGAAGCTAGCTAGAAGCACCAATACCACTCGATCATGAGAACATTGTCCATGTTACAGCAATATTTCTTTGTGCCAAAGAAGAAAATATAGCATACATGGAAACTCGAAATCTGTTTTGCTGCAAGAGCCAGCTAAAGCTTGTTAAGCCCTCCATCAACAAACAGGTTGTGGCCATTCACGAATTCGGAATCTTCAGAAGCAAGAAACACCACAGCATCAGCCACGTGCTTCGCTTTCAAAACCCCTTTTAAGCTCGAACTCGGCTCGAACAGCCTCTCAATTTTCTCTTCACTCTGGCCAAGCATGTTGCAGACCATTGGCGTCACGACCCCTCCTGGCGACACGCAGTTCACGCGTATACCGTGTGCTCCAAGTTGCTTGCTTGCAGACCTCACCAAGCCCAGCACCGCATGCTTAGACATGGTATAGTCTATGTAAGTGTCAGTCCCAATGGTCGCCGCGATGCTCGCCGTGCAAATTATGCTTCCCTTTATGTCCTTATCAACCATTGCGCGGGCCCCGTGCTTCACACACGAGGCCATGCCTTTGACATTAACAGCAAAAAGGCGCTCGAAGGCCGACATGTCGAAATCAAGAATGTCTTGTTTGACAGAACTGAACACTCCGGCGTTGCTGAACATGATGTCCAGCTTACCATACAATTGAAGGGTCGACTGTACTAAGGATATCACCTGTTGCTCATCCGCGACATCGCAGTGAACGTAGGTGCAGCAGCTGGAGCCAATCGATTCTACGAGGTCTCGGCCCTTCTCATCCTGGATGTCAGCAATCACGACTTTTGCACCGTGACTGGAGAAACGGCGAGCCGTTTCCTCGCCGATGCCACTTGCACCGCCAGTTACAATGGCTACTTTCCCCTCGAGTTTTTTCAAGGCAGAATTCGTCATCCCTTTTCGTATGCAAAGCCGGAACAAAAAGGAAGTAGAAATGATCACTCGTTAAATTCTGCTCTTTTTGAGATGAAAGTATATAAAATCACTTTCAGTTATGATTCCCGAGGGAAAGCAAAACTCTAGTTATAGGCTACCAATGCTTGTCCAACAAGAAATTTTTTTTTCAAACTTTGAAATTTTCAGTCGCTGCTCCTTTTTATGAAGCATCGATGTTGACTGTCCACCTGACAAAACTTGAGGTTTCACCTTGAGCCGCCTTCTATCAGCTTCAGTCCATGACTTTTCAACTCCATGACTTTTCAATAGATATGAAGAAAAAAAAGCAGGAAAAAGGACTTATGAGCTTCAGTCCATGACTTTTCAACTCCATGACTTTTCAATAGATATGAAGAAAAAAAAGCGGGAAAAAGGACTTATCAGCTTCAGTCCGTGACTTTTCAACTCCATGACTTTTCAATAGATATGAAGAAATGACTTTTCAACTCCATGACTTTTCAATAGATATGAAGAAAAAAAAGCAGGAAAAAGGACTTATCAGCTTCAATCCATGAAAGCAGGAAAAAGGACTTATCAGCTTCAATCCATGACTTTTCAATATATATGAAGAAAAAAAAGGAGGAAAAAGGACTTCCAGCTTTTTCCTCTTCAAATTGGCTTCTTTGTTCTATCTACATAGAAGAATTGCGCAAAGTTAAAGCTTCATTTATTTCACGAAAAATATAATATTTTTAAAAATATTTTTTTAAAATCATTTTTCAGAAAAATATCATTTTTTGGTGTTTGGCTGAAGTGGTGATTGCCCACAGAACTTAGTCCTCTTTCGCTTCGAGACCTCGCCTCACAGCAAAAACCAAGCCCGCCCCCGCGGCCCCCCCCCTCGGGCACCCGCATAAGGGTAAGGTCTCCACATGGGGCCGCACTGCCCATGATCGGGTCTAGTGAGGAATGAGGATGGATGAGGACCAGAGTCCAAGGAAACGTATACGGTTCAGATTAGGATTTCATTGCCTCATGGAATAGTAGGACTTCGGCTATTCCACTGGGCAATTCAACAGCTAGCACCAACAGATACTTGTCGTTAAATCACCAGTTTAGTCGCCTAATTCAAAGATCGAAGCAAAATGTTCCTTTTCACAAACAAGATCGCATCTACTAGAGCTCTTTTTCTCCAGAATGATGTTTATCTTTTCTAAGACGTGTAAGATCACCTGCGCTACAAATGAATTGAAGTCCCTATTGATTGGTCATTTACATATCATCCAAGGAAACAACTGAGCCTGCCCGCCCGCATAATGGCAGGATCTTTGCACGGGGCCGCAATGCCTATGATCCGGTCTAGTGAGGAATGAGGCTGGACGAGGACCACAGAGTCCAACAGAAAAGGGCATAGTTGGTCTTTCGCTGTTCCTTCGGTGCAGTTCAACAGCACCAACGCATAATTGTCATTAAATCACCAATTGCGTCGCTGAATATAAAGATTAAAGCAAAATGTTCCTTTCACAAACATGACAGCATCAGCTAGAGCTCTTTTTCTCCAGATTTGTACTGCTACAACAGCAAACAAAGCACAGGCAAGTTAAGACTTTGCAACTTTTATTTCTAGTCTCCATAGGATAGCCTATCGTGCCCATCCTCCGTCAACCGCCAGATTGTGGCCGTTGATGAATTCTGCCTCTTCGGAAGCAAGAAACACCACGGCATCAGCTACGTGCTTCGCTTTCAGCACTCCTTTCAAGCATGAACTAGACTCGAACATCCTCTCACCTTCCTCCTCACTCACCCCGAGCCCTCCGCAGAGTAATGGTGTTGCGACCGCTCCGGGTGAGACACAGTTCACTCGGATACCATATGCTCCAAGTTGCTTGCTCGCTGACCTCACCAAACCCAGAACGGCATGCTTAGACATCACATAGTCTACGCGAATCTCGTTTCCAGTGCTGGCCAGGAGGCTCGCTGTGCAAATTATGCTTCCCTTTATGCCCCCCGCCACCATGGCTCGCGCCCCGTGCTTGACACAGGCGGCCATTCCCCGAACATTGACGGCAAACAGGCTATCGAAAGCAGGTATGTCGAGCTCGAGAATATCTTGCTTGATCTTATTCATTATGCCTGCATTGCTGAACAAGATGTCTAGGCGACCGTTTGATTGAAGAGTCGATTCCACCAAGGACTTCACCTGTTGCTCATCCGTGACATCGCAATGGACGTAGGTGCACCGTTGGGATCCGATTGATGCCACGAGGTCTCGGCCCTTTCCATCTTGGATGTCGGCAATCACGACGTATGCACCATGGTTTGCCAACCGACGCGCCGTCTCCTCGCCGATGCCACTCGCGCCACCGGTTACGATGGCTACTTTGCCGTCAAGTGTTTTTGAGGTGTGGCTTGTCATTTCTGTTGGCAGAGAATGGAAAACTAAATACAGCAATGGCCTGTGAAGCTGTGGTGAGGAAGATGCAGAGCCACTTCATATATAGAACTTGAGAAAGGACAAGTATGTTATAACCAAGTTCCCCAAAATACTCCTGAGCTATAATGTTAACATTGAAAGTTTGGTGTTTGACTTTCTGTCGAATGCCCTTGTGTACACTAGAGGTTTGGATCCAATAAACAGGTCCACCAGCTCCCGCGTGCAATTTGATATCGGTTCATTTCGTCATTTGTGGCTTCTTTCCAAGAATCTACATTTAACAAATGATTCTGGATAGTTTCTTATAAATGAAGGAAAATAATTAGCTAACAACACCGTCATTTTGCAAAATGCACGGTCCAAAGTCGGCCACACTTTTTAAATTGAGGAAACAAGGAGGCTGGTTCTATCGGTTTAAATGAAAATGGGCTAGTTATTGATAGGCTATAACAATCAAATTGGGACTCGTTATTAGATCATGGCTTGTTACACGGAGATGTCAATTTTATCCACCCTACTAAAAATCCACATTTCACCACTCCTAATATCCGCATTACAACTAATGGGGTTTTGCGTGGGGATGGGGTGAATTTTCCTCCAAACTAGATATGGATATCGTCAGCTCCTCTTCGCCTCCGCCCGCGATCATACCCTTAAAATTTGAAAATTCCTAGGCTTAAGCTAATTTCTTATATGATTTGTATAGTTTTAGTTATATAAAGTTTTTTTTTTAATTTTCTCCATAGATACCAATACTTTTAATGGATATTTATTCCTTTTTTCTCATATATTAATCATGAACATTTTCGAAATTAAACTTTTGAGATCGATTCTTTTATTCTTTCTTCTTCTTTTCTTAAATAAATATTTTTGTTCTTTTTTGCACCCATCCTGCCCTATTTCCGTTCTCTATATTCACACGTTAGATCTTCAGATGAATTTAATTAATACAAATTGCGTTAAAGTATTAGTTCAAAGCCACGGGGATCTTTCGGCAGGTGTGCAAAAATTTCAGTCTTGTTCATTATTTCCTGCACATTTGATAATAGATCTTCAGATCTGTGTAATTACTTTCTTTTTATGGTAGTCGTGCTTAGAAGATTAAACTACAAACTTCTGCAGGGACTCAGCCAGGTAACCCCATGCGTGCACATGCATTTGTTGTCCTCGAATCACCTACTTCGCAACTTTCTAGGTGGGTTGGTCGACGAAGTATACACATGTTTAGAAATCAAATGGAATGTTGGACCCAAAAATGAAATCGGATCGACTAGGAAATTACCAAAAAAGTCTTAAACTTATTGCATTTGTGCCCATTCGGTTATAGACCTTTCAATATGGCCAATTTTATCCTAAACCTTTTAACGATTTGCTAATTTAGTCATTCCAGCCAATTTTGATCGAAAATCTCCGACACGTTTGACCCATTGGGCTGACAGGTCGAAAATGGTCCGACCCTATAGCCCTCCCCTCCTTCACCATCTGCTGAAACCAGGGCTTTCTTGTTTTGGCCTGTCATCGATGAAAGATCCCTGCCACAGCTAAAACTTTCACTTGTATTCAAACAAGTAGAATTCGAATCGTCTCGACGCATGTTAATTGTCATATCTGGAGCAGAATTTGGCTTGTGTCGATCTACCTGATGTTTCAACAAACATTCTATGCCATATCAAAATCCTCCAAATAATATTGCTCTCTCGTGCATAGAAATGGTGCAGTAGTTGGTTAACATGAACTTCTTGATTTAGTTTGCGATCAATGAAGAGCAATTTATGTCCAATTTTTGCAGTGTCACAACCCTTTGCCGCAAGAAGCTAGCCAGAAGCGCCAATAACATTCACTCGTGAGAACATTCACCAAGTTACGGTTTTTTTTCTGTGTTACAGCAGAAAATGTAGCATACATGGAAACTCGAAACCTATTTTGCTGCAAGAGTCAGCTAAAGCGTGTGTTAAGCCCTCCATTCTACGACCAGGTTGTGGTCATTCACAAATTCGGAATCTTCAGAAGCTAGAAACACCACAGCATCAGCCACCTGCTTCGCTTTCAAAACCCCATTTAACCTCGAACTCGGCTCAAACAGCCTCTCGATTTCCTCTTCACTCCAGCCGAGCATGTTGCAGACCATTGGCATCGCGACCCCTCCCGGTGACAGGCAGTTCACGTGTATACCGTTTGCTCCAAGTTGCTTGTGTTAAAATAGGTCTCAAATTTGAGCCCAAAAAGAGGAAACTTTCCTAATTTGAATAAGTTTCTTAGTTGAAGTTGCTTTTCTAGTATGAATAGGTTTGCTATTTTGAATCCAATTCTTGCCTATATATAAGAAGTGGATGTTATTTGTGAAGAATATCAAAGAGGCTTCTTCGTGAATTACGCCCTGAGAGCTTTTAGTGTTGAAGGCTTGAAGCCAATTAAATCTTGTAAGTAAAATTTGTGAATTCCTTCGTAAGATTAAAAAATTATTTTGTGAGGAATTATGGGGCTAAACACTATATGAGGTTATTGGGTATAATTTGACGCTAAGAAATACTGAGAGTATTTAAGTGACTCGAGTATGGTTATAATCTATGTTGTATCACTTGATCTATAGTAGAATTCTTTGCTAATTTCCTCATGAATATAGGTCATCTCAACCAATCCACGTAAATCGGGTGTCCGATTTATTTCATTATTCTATCTATTTTATTCTATTGCTTGCTTCCGCAACAATTGGTATTAGAGCCAGACTTGGCTGAGTTGAAACGAATCAATGTTGACAAAAGAAGGAAAAGTGAAGATTGACAAATTTGACATGAAGGATTTTGGTTTGTGGAAGATGTAGATTGAGGATTATTTGTATCAGAGAAATATGCACTTACCACTATCTAGGGAACATTAACTGGAGTGAGGCACGTTCAAGAGTTGAAAAAGAACCTAATTTCCTTGAGTGCCTTGAATTCGGCTGGGTGTCGATATATATTAGAAGGTGGAGTTCCAAAGGTTGTTCAAGATGCCTTGATATATATTAGAAGGTGGAGTTCCAAAGGTTGTTCACTCCTCACTCACCCCGAGCACTCCACAGAGTAATGGTGTTGTGACCGCTCCAGGGGAGACGGAGTTCACTCGTATACCATATGCTCCAAGTTGCTTGCTCGCTGACCTCACCAGACCCAGGACAGCATGCTTGGACATCGCATAGTCTATGCATTTCTCATTTCCAGTGCTGGCCAAGCCGCTCGCTGGGCAAATTATGCTTCACTTTATGCGCCCCGCCACCATGGCGCGCGCCCCGTGCTTGACACAGGCGGCCATTCCCGAACATTGATGGCAAACAGGCTCTCGAAGGCAGGTAAGTCAAACCCGAGAATGTCTTGTTTGATCTTATTCATTATGCCTACATTGCTGAACAAGATGTCTAGGCGACCGTTTGACTGAAGAGTCAATTCCACCAAGGACTTCACCTGTTCCTCATTCATGACATCGCAATGGACATAGGTGCACCAGAGGGATCCGATCGATGCCGCGAAGTCTCGGCCCTTTCCGTCTTGGATGTCGGCAATCACGATGTATGCGTTGTGTTTTGCCAACTAACGTGCTGTCTCCTTGCCGATGCCACTTGTACCACCGGTTACGATAGCTACTTTGCCGTCAAGTTTTTTTGAGGTGTGGCTTGTCATTTCTGTTGGCAGAGAATGAAAAACTGATTACAGAGATGGCCTGTCAAGCTGTGCGGAGGAAAGATGCAGAGCCACTTCAGTTCATATGTAGAACTTGAGAAAGGACAAGTACGTCATAACAAAGTCCCCCAAAATACTTCTGAGCTAATGTTACCTCAGAGGTTGACATTGAAACTTTGGTGTTGACTTTCTGTCGATTGCCCATGTATACACGATGTTTGGATCCAATAAACAAATCCACCTGCTCCCGCGCGCTATTTGATAATGGTTCATTTCGTCATATTTGTGGCTTCTTTCCAGGAATCTACATTTAACAAATGATTCTGGATAGTTTCTTATAATAAATGAAAATGGGCCAGTTATTGGTCAGGTGAACAGTCAACATCGATGTTGACTATTCACCTCACCAAACTTGAGGTTTCACGTTGAGTTGCCTTCTATCAGCTTCAGTAACTTCTCAATAAATACAAATAAAGATATACGTGCACTGAAAATCTTAAAACTTATTACAAAAGTGTAATGGAGTTTCATAACTTACAAAAAGTGTAATCATGTTCGAAAACTTATTAAATTAGTGCAATCGAGTCCTTCCATTAACTTCGTCCAACTTGACTAATGAAAAATGTTCATTTTGTCTCTCCTACATGGCAATGACGTGGCTAAATCATAAAACATAAGACTAAAATGACGTCGTTTTGGTCCAAATCTGATTTTTAATGTAAATTCATTTAAATTAAATTTAAAAATTAAGTTCAATTAAAAAAAATAGAAAAAGAAAAGGAGAAACCAGGCGGTGAGGGCTACAAACCCTTGCTGCCGCACCATCGCCAGGAAGGGCCGATGAGGGTGGGGGATGGCCGCACCATCCACTTTAGGTTCGACCTCAATTCTACCATAATTTTTTTTATATCATTAAAAAATCCTCAATTTTAGGTCTAATCTCAATTCTAACTTAAACTTTTTTTTGTCTCGTAAAAAATCACAAACTTTTACTTGAGTCTCAAATCTGCTCTTATTAACCCTCCATCCAAAATTTCTCTATGAAAAACTCCCGACCGCATGCTGTTCGAGCGTCCAAAATCGAAGATCCCAAGGGAGATCAAAGGAAGACTCTCTTAAGAAAAGCAATTGGAGAAAGCCAACCCTGATTGCTTCGATTTTTACTCAAATTCCAAATCCAATAAGACATTGTTTGGGCTGACATGAAAATTCATCCCCAAAAGAAGTCTTCTTGGATATGAAATTTGGGAAAAACTAGAGCAATGGCGTGGAAATGCCACATTACTAAAGGCGATTTTGGATGGAGGGTTAACGAAGGCATATATGGGACTCAAGTAAAAGTTGATATT